CACTTCCTGTCAGTCCGGCTGGTTACAGGAAACAGAAACTCCTGTTCCGCGCGGAGTTTCTGTTTCCTGTAACCGGCCGGACTGACAGGAAGTGCACAGTCAGTGTGCACCCTCCTATCACTCCGGCCGGCTGGCCGGCCACCGCGGACCGGAGTGCAGCTCGGCCACGCTACAGAGGAGGGGAGGGGAGAAGCTGCAGCCACCTGACCGCTCTTAACAGAGCGCTCGGGCGGCTGCAGTATTTAAAGGGCCGGCCCAGGAACGCGGCCGGCCCCCAGGTGCCGCGGCCCACCGGGAAATTTCCCGGTATCCCGGTGGGCCAGTCCGGCCCTGTGTGTGTATGGGCACTGTGTGTATGTGTAAGGGTGCTGTGTGTGTAAGAGCTGTATGTGTGAGGGTGATGTTAGTGTGCTGTATGTGTGTGGGTGCTGTTTGTGTGTATTGTGTGGAGGTGGGGTAAACATTTAGCTAATAGTCCCCCTCCCTTCTTACCTTTTGTAGGGAGGGGGGACCGTGCTGCCGCCATCCCTAGTGGTCCAGTGGTGAGTGAACTCTAGCCTGCGAGGCTAGATTTCACTCTCGCGACATCTGAGCGTTGCCACGGCAACACTCAGACCTCGCAAGAGGAACCTGGCGCAGCTGCTGGTAAGAGCTCCCCGGGTCCTCTTCTTCCTTCCTCCCTCCCTTACTGTGGGCCGGTGAGGGAGATCTTTGATCTCCCTCACCGGCCCATGGAGGCACATAGTGCGGGCCGCGGGGATTAGGGTGTGCCCAGGCACACCCGGCATACCCCATGCGCACGCCTATGCAGTGATGTTGACTCAAGATGGCAAGTTCAGGTAAGTAGAACTCACCTTTCTCTGCCCTCCGGCTACCTGACCCCCAGCAGGGATTGTCACTTCAAGTAAGAAGAACGCACCTTTCCCTGCCTCTAGCCACAGGAACTCCAGTAGCGATGTCAGAGACGGTGACAGTGCTGCTTTAAATCACTTTTGTTTCAGCTTATGCAGTCCTTGCCACACCTCTTCTGGCTGTGACTGACACTGTCAGTGTAATTCAAACACAGTCAAAATGAGTATTTCATAAAGATTCTACCTTCATGAAATATTTTTTTTTTAAGGTGAGGGGGGGAGGGGTGTGTCACAGTGCAACTTTAGTAAAGTTGCTTTAGTGCTTAGTGTCCCATTTTAAGTTTAATTGGAGTGGATGTCAATTATGTAGGTGTGGCTGCAGGGCGTCACGTTTTGATGTGTGGGTCAGGCGGCCCTTTTTGAAGTATCACTAGAAAACACCTCTTAAAATGGACATCACCAAAATTCTAATGGAATCAGGCTACAGTTATTCAGCAGGCAGAATCCATTGGCATAGAGCTGTGCACATGGTGAGCACAAAAGCATGACATTGTTGGATTGATGGAGATTTAAGCTCAAGGTTTATTTGCATATATCATCTGTGGCTAGTTACTGCAAACGCCTATGATTTTCAGTCAGACACTAGTAGCAGCAGATGAAATTATACTTTGCCCCTTTAAAAAAAAAAATAAAAAATAAAAAAAATATATATATATATATATATATATATATATATATATATATATAAAATCCAACTTCAGTGCATGTAATTATCTATCGTGGAGATGTCAAGATGATGAAACCCCAGCTGCTGTAATACTACAACTCCCATGATGCTTGGCTTAATATTAACAAAACATTCACTGAATTGTAGTTCTGGTACAGTTTGGAAGTCTACTTTTTTTTGGCCATCCTTGATTCATAGAAAAATACTTTATAGAATCTCACAGCCCAGAATTTTAGAACCTTCCTCATTTTGATGATCAGCAGCCATTAGAGAAACACTCCACCTCTTGAGTTCTAAAGGCTAAATCATCACTGGCATCAGACGTAATTAAATTTAGGAATGCAGTTTTAGACCTCCGTTTTCCATCAGCCACTCCCTAGTGCCAGTGTATGGTTACTGAAACCCTGTGTGAAGAAAGATACAGAGCACAGTGGGTGGGGAGCTGTTACTGCCTAGTAAGCTGCCTGCCTGTTCATTGGTCTCCATTCATCTCATGGACACATTTTGGGAGGAGAGCGGTACAGGGGGATGGAAAGTTATTTAAAGTGTTTTTTTTTTTTTTTTCGAATAGGGTGGAAACTTTCCTGCAGGCTGTTGCTGGATATCAGGCTAGCTGACACCACGAGTTATACAGAGCTGCTGTGAAACCAGATCAACACCTCAGGAGGACAGTTCTGGGCCATTTCCTTCATTTTTATCGTTTATATAGCTTTCTAAAAGCAGCAGACACCATGTTTCGGAGACTAGCTATTCTGTGCCTGCTCCTTGTTGCGGTAGAAATCAGAGGTAAGTGGGGTTGAAAGGGTAGATTTGGGCAAGCAACCTCTAACTCATTGTTTTCAGACTTATTTACCACCACATGGTATACCTATCGATCTGTGTGTTTTGGGGAGCCAGCCTGCCTGCCTTTTGCAGTAGGGGTGTGTTAGGCTCTCCCTGCCTTTGCACCGATAGCAGCCGAGGCTGAACACGCTAGTGTTTATTAGTTGTTTGGTTTCCAGATTTCAAAACCCAGATTAACCCCTTAAGGACACATGACATGTCATGATTCCCTCTTATTCCAGAAGTTTGGTCCTTAAGGGGTTATGGAACAGATCACACACAAAAATACATGAGGTTTGAATGTTGTAATCGAAGTGAAACATAAATAAATAAACACAAGCAGAAATTTTCAATCAAAATGTTTATTTAATAACTTTAGTGATACACCTTGGAGAATGGCCGTGGACCTTTATTATGGATTTCATAATTCCTATTAAACCATAACCATATGAATAATAATAAACCATAGCTTTAAAACCAACATATTAAACCACTTTCCAAGGCTCCGCCCCCCTCCAAAGCCAGGAGCCATAAATATCTCTTCAACCAAATCCACCAAATCCACCCGCCTGTGATGACCAGGAGGGCGACTTATATCCCATAATAAGGTCACGACATAAAATAAATAAAAGGGGGAAGGGTGGGTGGGAACAGCAGCTTAAATATTTTAATATATAGCTAACCTTCGGATTTGTCTGGCACAATCTGAGGCAATTAATTTGGCGCCCTCCAATTTATATCCCCTATTTTCCCTCCAATATTGCCCTCGCGCTGCTATCTACCAATCAGGGCTCATGCCCTGGTCGCGAGCTTGCCGCCTTTACTGCCAGCGCGAGCTGCCTTGTATTTAACCCTAACCTGCATTTAACCCCTAGCGCGAGCGCTATACTTACCCACTTCGCTCCATCAAACCTCATGGGGCTTCTCCTTAAGCAGTCCGCGTGCCCGACATGAGGTTTGAATGTTGTAATCGAAGTGAAACATAAATAAATAAACACAAGCAGAAATTTTCAATCAAAATGTTTATTTAATAACTTTAGTGATACACCTTGGAGAATGGCCGTGGACCTTTATTATGGATTTCATAATTCCTATTAAACCATAACCATATGAATAATAATAAACCATAGCTTTAAAACCAACATATTAAACCACTTTCCAAGGCTCCGCCCCCCTCCAAAGCCAGGAGCCATAAATATCTCTTCAACCAAATCCACCAAATCCACCCGCCTGTGAGGGCGACTTATATCCCAACGCCACCGAGGTTCTGGGCTACCAAACTCGGTGGCCCCCCAACGCCCACGGCCATCTCCAACATGGATTGAATCTCCAAATTAAATATATCCAAACCAATATCCGACAAGTGAACTTCATCGCTCCTATAAAAGCCAGCGCAATTGCCCTCAATATCCCTGTGTCTATATGAGGTCATTCCCAGGGTTGGTAAAAATATTTCCAACGCTCTATTTACTTTCCTACGTACCCTTTCCAATGGTTTTAAAAAACTTACTTTTAACCAGCAATGCCTTGGGATAATCTCCGACCATATGAACCGAACATCTGGAAATATTTGCGTTATGCATACCAAATCACTTTTAATCTCTTTTATCAAATTGACCGATTTCGTTGAGCCAATATCGTTCCCTCCCAAATGAACTATTACTACCTCTGGATAGGGAAAACTTAACATGCATTGTTGTATTATTTCAAATAATTGAGACCACTTAGCCCCACGAATTCCTTTCCAAAAGACTTTAACAGCATTGCTTTCTAATCCGAGATTTTCGCCATATGACCGTTCTTTTGCCCTCTTCTGGGCCCAAAATATAAATGAATGACCGATTACCCAGGCAATCGCCGGCTTCTTATTACCTAGCAAAAGAAGATTATTAACATATATACGCCAATGTTCATATACATCCATAAACTTTAATAACAAAGAACCGTTAACGTTTTTTTTTTTTATATCAAATGAGGCCTGACGTATAATTGAAATCTATTAGACTCCCATCTCCCCAACCTTTGAATCATTCCATCACTTAAACCACACCTTGCTGCTTCTGTTGCCGCTCCAATTCTAAAAGAATGAGATGAATAATGCTCATCGCCTAACTTTAACTTGTCTATGCACAACTTGAAGACCTTTTTAAATTGGAACTTAGTCAACGGAACGGTGTCCTTATGCATGAAAAAAGGACCTTCAACCCTTGGTCTAATTGACAAGTAATTTTCTGTCACCTTAACCGGACACAAAAAAGAACCTTTAATCTCCAGCAATGTTAACCATCTTCCTTTGCCTTCCTGATCTGTTTTAGATTTTCTAATGAATACCATCACTTTCCTATCATTAACTATAATATCTTCCCATTGTAAACCTGACAAACAAAACTTACTCTTAGCCACTAACTCGCTAATTCTTAACGCTTCGAAAAAAGCTATTATAAATGAACATCTAATTAAAACTACCTCATACTCAGAATAACATACTTCCTCCAGGACTACAAATAACTGTGATAGCACCTTAAACGATATTGGTTTTCTGTTATCCCTTACTCTACTGGCTCTTCTATAACCTCGAACTAACTGATTAACTATGAAATACTGCTTAATTGGTTTACATTCACACAGCTTCCTAAAGAAATCCACCCCGGCTAAACTACAAGCTAACTTGGACTTAGAGAAACCTTTCTGCATTGACACCAATGTAAATTGTATTGCGCTCTCCTTGTCCTCTCCAAACGGATCTTTATTGTTTGACTGATTAAATTTGAACCACTCATTCCATGCTCTGACATATGTACTCCACGTAGAAACAGCTACTGAATTCATCAGCATCACACTTAACTGTCCCCAATCAAATCCCAAAGGTCTGACGGGAACTGGGTTCCTTCCGCAGCTGCTCTTGGTGCCAATTTTCGAAATTCCTGCAATTGCAATCGTGAGAGAGCATCAGCCAGCCTATTGATTTTGCCTGGTATATGTCTAGCTTTTATCCATATGTTCAGCTGAAAACACCTTAACACTAAGTGTCTAAGTAAATTGATAACTCTATTACACCTAGACTGTAAGGAATTAATTACCATTACTACACTTAGATTGTCACAAGTGACGATCAGCCGCCTATTTCTCCATGCTCCTCCCCATAGATATATTGCGGCTACAATTGGAAACAATTCCAACAATGTCAAGTTTTTGGTTAAGCCTTCCTGTGCCCAAAGAACCGGCCATTCTTGTGCACACCACTGTCCATTCCAATATATGCCAAAACCAATAGCACCAGATGCATCTGTAAACAGCTCAAGACTATCCGAATCTATAAACTCTTGTTGCCACATTGATCTTCCATTAAAATCTGTTAGGAAATTATGCCATACTTTAAGGTCTTGCTTCAATTCTTTTGTTACCCTAATGTGTGCAAATGGGGACCTAACCTTAGACATTGCTATCCCCAACTTCCTGGAGAAAGCTCTCCCCATTGGAATAACCCTTGAAGCAAATGTTAACAGACCTAACAGAGATTGTAAAACTTTCAATGTCACCTTCTCACAGCCCATTACCTGCTGAATCAGCATCTTCATTTTCAGTATCTTATCCTCCGGCAACCTAAATTCCATTTTTGTTGAATCAATCATTATTCCCAGAAATTGCAAAGAAAATGTGGGTAAAACCGTTTTATCCTCTGCTAATGGGATTCCTAAATGACCAGCCACCCTTCTAAATGTTTCTAGTAAATTCTTACAGTTGTCACTATCCTTAGTGCCCACAAATAAAAAATCATCCAAGTAATGCATTACTTGCTGCTGACCTGATTCATACCGAATAATCCATTCCATGAAAGTCGCAAAGGTCTCAAAATAAGAACATGACAGTGCACAACCCATAGGCAGGCACTTATCGAAAAAATACTGGCCCTTGAACTGAAAACCTAGTGAATTGAAGGATTCGGGATGAATCGGCAAGAGTCGAAAGGCAGATTCTATATCCCCCTTCGCCATCAAAGCACCCCTTCCACATTTTCTTACCAAATTTAAAGCCTTATCAAAAGTTGAATAAGACACTGAACTTTCTTCTCTAGAAATCATGTCATTTAAAGATCCTCCCTTGGGGTATGATAGGTGATGTATTAGTCTATATGACCCGGGTTCTTTCTTTGGAACCAAACCCAGAGGGGATAACCGAAAACATTTAAATGGAGGAACATTAAAAGGGCCCTCAACTCTCCCTAACTCTAACTCTTTGCAAATCTTTTCCCAGGCTAAACTTGGTAACTCTAAAACTGATTTTAAATTCTCAACCCAACAAAATTCAACAGAACTATATACAGGTAACCTGAAACCATTTTCAAAACCTTCTTTAATTAATTTGGCTTTCTCCCGGTTTGGATAGATTGCGAGATAAGGTAGTAACCTTACCACTTTCACTGGGGTCTGTGCTTTTTGGAAATGTACCACTTTGTTGTCCTCTTTTATAGCAGCGAAAATTAGGATGCGCACCTGAACAGGTAGCGCATTCGTGCCGGAATCTACAATTATTCAGCCACTTACATTGTGATTCGTTATAAGCCCAGCAAAAACCTTTTTTCTGTGCAACATTTGTAACCTGCCTATTAACAAAATTAGGCTGTCTCTGCGGTAACATCATGCTCACCCATAGTCCGACATCCTTCATACCCCATTTAAGGTTGCTATGTACTGCTAGTTTTTGTCGGAATTGTTCGTCATAATAAAACCATGACAAACCCCCAAAATTTTTATATGCCTCCAAAATAGCTTCTGTATGTTGAAATAGCCCACAGCACAATTCTGGATATTTTTCGCCTAACACGCTAGCATAAATGCAAAAAGCTTGCAGCCAATTATTGAAAGACCTCGGAATAAACTTTTTCCTCTCCTCATCCCCCTTTTCCCTGTCGGGTTTAGTAAATTCTCTGGCTGTGGGCAATAATGATAGAATATCGATATACTCCCCTTTCCATATCCTATCCTTTATAGACTTACTTAAATGAAAACCCAGAGGGGAGCTTTCACAACCTAAAGCTTCTTTCATGCATGTCTCTTTTACTCTAACTTCTTCCCTCACAGAATGTGTCACTTTTGGATTAACTGTGACCACTTCTGTATCAGGCTCCCATACTCTCGCTAATTTAGGTGTCTGCAATAATTTTGTAAGTTTCTCAAGTGAAGACACCACTTCCCCGAAAACAGCATTATTCACATTTGCTTGTAACTCACCCAGCTCATGACTGCAACCTGGGATATCCTGAGCTGCTTCGCTCTCTTCAAATAGCCTAGGTCTGTCCTCAGCCTCTTTATTCTTCTTCTTTTGTTCGTATTTTCTGCCCTGTTTCCACATCCTCTTCCTATTCTTTATTGGAGACGGTGAGAAGGTTTCCCTGGACCTCTTCGTTCTTGCCTCACGAATCCTGCAGGGGTCGCTATCACCAGATTTTCTTTCTTGCACTTGCCCTTTAATTTTTTGAGGGGAATATCCTGCTCCCTCCTCCATTATTAACTCCTCCTGTAGCTCAGCCCCTTCTTCTTCCTCTACTTCAATTAGACCAGAGGTGCTGGGGGCGGACTCTAAGCAAGCCTGTAGCCATGCAGTATCACTGCAGCCTAAAGCCTTTTGTTTAAGCTGTTCTAATAATGCCTCAATTGTGCCAGACATCTCCAAAGGTAAGAAACAGCAGCTTAAATATTTTAATATATAGCTAACCTTCGGATTTGTCTGGCACAATCTGAGGCAATTAATTTGGCGCCCTCCAATTTATATCCCCTATTTTCCCTCCAATATTGCCCTCGCGCTGCTATCTACCAATCAGGGCTCATGCCCTGGTCGCGAGCTTGCCGCCTTAACTGCCAGCGCGAGCTGCCTTGTATTTAACCCTAACCTGCATTTAACCCCTAGCGCGAGCGCTATACTTACCCACTTCGCTCCATCAAACCTCATGGGGCTTCTCCTTAAGCAGTCCGCGTGCCCGACAGTTTTGCATTTTAAAAAGCTACTTAAAATCACCTACCTCAGATTACCCCTGGAGATTGGGCACAGCTCTCCCCTTATGTGCTTTGTCTAGTTCCCCGGTATGAGTCATAGCCTCTGACAATGTTTTGTGGATGCCTAGCTATTCGTGGCCATCCCTATTCTCTACCAGCTGTGCCCAAATCTTTAATTTCTGCAGTGTATCTATGCCATGTCTTTGTTTATATTTGGGTGGGGTTTCCAATGCTCATTCATGTTCTTCAGTGGCACATAGTTTGGGGATAGGGGTGTGTGTGTGATGAGTACATTCTGTAATATGGAAGGGCTCACCCTGTAAACTTATATACGCCCAAGCCATACGTGAGAGCCTCTTTGTATAAACCCCCAATGTAGTGGTTACTGATAGAAACCTGCACTGATGCTGGGCCATGAGAATTGATTTAGGAACCCACTGTTCTATTGTAACCATCATCTGATTTCACTCTCTAATCAGCCTCCCTCTTCTGTAAACCTGGAGCTACTCACGGGTTTCATAACATATTGATTGCCGTTTTTAGTCTACATATTTTTTATGTGCTATAGAGACTTGCACATTGATCACATGGTAGGCAAGTGCCCACATTTTGTGATATATTGTTTTGGGGTAATTTGGCTGCTGGCAAGGAATAGACCCAATCAATTCTGGCTTTATTTAGCCTCCATTACCTTTCATAAAAGCATGTGTTCTCTGACCGATTCTATTACAGAATGTTATTAACAAACAAAACCATTTTAGGTAACGTTATTAAACTTTGGTTCTCATCCCGTCTGGTATATTTGGTGGTTCTTCCAGCATCAACTTGTGCAACAAAATACAATTTAACCTCCGAATAGCAGCTGTCTGCCTATTAACTCAATGCATTGTGGTGAAATAGCTAAATTGCAAAAAAAAATAATTAAAAAAAAATCACTGTGCTCATTTGACTTACGTCAATTATTCGTCCTTTGTCTGTTTTTTTTTTTATTGCTTTTCTCTTCCAAAAGTGGTGGTATTTGCTTCAGGAACAAAAGCTTAAACAATTTGAGGGAAAAAAAAAAAAAACCTATGGGGGGGGAGGTGAAAGATAATGTCTTCCTTTGCCACTTGTTTGTTTGTGCTTGCCTTGCACATTCTTTTGTTTTCAGTCCAATCTCACCTGAGCATTGTGTTCCCCCTTGCTTTATTCACACTACAGTCAATATGAGCAGAACAATCAATTCATCCATCTTGTAATCCGTTACTGGCCTTTCATTTTATAGCTGATCAGAAATGACGCTTTGTTACCTATGGTATAATCATTTTCAAATATGGGGGTAAACATATTATGAGGTGTTTTGTCTCGCTCCATACGGTCCCATTGCCACTGAAATCCATGTGTCCTCTTGTGTAATTTCAATAAAAATACGGTCAAGGATATTCATTATACTTCAAATTTTAGCTAATTACATTACTTTTATTATAGCCGAGTTGTTTTAAATTTATTTTAGTAACAATTTAGCAGTTTGCATTTAATTCACAAAATTTTGCATTTATTGAGTTTATAACCCTGTGGGTGTGTGGTACAACTTGAGCAAAATCAATGCATATGTTTGTAAAAAACTTAAGAAATGTAGGAATAAAAATATGAATTTCTAATGCTATTGTGTTCTTCTGTTTAGGTTACCCGCCCCTTTTCTAATAGAAATTTAAGTTTTATTCATTGGGGAAAACATTGGGAGGTAAGTGCACATGTGTGGCAAAACACTGTGCTGCCCCAATCAAAGGCTGTTAGTAAATCATTTGACTGAATAATCAATTCACTTATTTTAGCAAAAGCACTTCTGGTGGCTGTCAGGAAGACTGCCACTACAGATGTGTTAACCATGATTTATAACCTTGCTACATCTACTAAACTGCAAATTTTTTTAAAAAAATTATTTTTTATTACAGGGTTAAAACCAAAGGACGACTGCACCCAGACCACTTGATTGAGATGAAGTGCTCTTGGTGCCTGTCGAGGTCCTTTTTTAAGTTAAAGGGACACTGTAGGCACCCAGACCACTTCAGCTAATTGAAGTGGTCTGGGTGCTGTAACCCTTTTGCACTTAGTGCTGCAATGTAAAACATTGCAGTTCCAGAGATCTGCAATGTTTAAATTGCAGCTCTAAGTCTGCCCTCTGTGGCTGTCCAGCAGACAGCCACTAGAGGGCTTTCCGGAATCCAAAAGGACTTTTGGTCCGTTATCTGACGGACCTCCAGCGTCAGATTTTCCCCATAGGAAAGCATTGAATAATGCTTTCCTATGATGATGTCTAATGCGAGAGAATGTGTGCACGCGAGCAAGAGAAGGCGTGCGTGCCAACACGAGCGGGTGTAACACGTGGGAAGGGGAGGAGTGGGATCTGATGCACAATAGCAGGGACAGGCAGAAGCAGAGCAGAGCACTTGTAAAATAGGAGACAGGAGAAGGAGAGAATTGTTGACAAATAGTAAGTGGGCTAACTAGCTCAGCCTTTTGGTCATTGCTATAAGGAAGGTAAAAGAAAAGCATTAGAGAGGGAAAAAAAGAGATAAAAAGGAAAAGATCAAAAAAAAATTTTTTTATTGTTTTATTTTTTTTTTACTGGGATAAAATAAAGGAGGAGAGAAAGCAGCGTTTAGAGTGGCTCATCTTTTGGCAAGTTAAGTTTTGTTATCTTATAAAATGAAAGAAAGAAGGAAAATAAAGGAAGGAGAGAATAAAGAGAAAGGGGGAAAAATATATAATATAAGGAAGTTAAGAAGGCAGGAAAAGTAGCAAAAAAAAGTTTGTTTAAATTATCTAGCATTAAAGCGGCACTGTCTGAGGACTTTGCAGGGGAAGGGAGGGCAGGTAAAGGTGAGTTCTACTTACTGAACCTGTCCTACGCGGGCGCAGGCATCTTCTTCTGGCGGGTCTACATCAGTGTCAAGAGCACTGTGCGCAAGAGTACAGCATTGAGGTCTATGGAGGTTCCTGCGTGATCCTCCCATAGACAAAACCAATGTCCAGTGTCTAGAAGTGTCAGGCATAGGAAATATACAGAGACCTAGCAGTCCCTATTTTGTGTCTGTATATCTCTTGATTGGGTTGGAGTTTGCATGAAATTCCAATGTTTATTTCATAAATTTCTAGGCTAGTGCTGCTTTAAAACAGGTGTGGAAAATATTTCTAAAAAATGCCCCAGTAATTTGCTAGTTGTTTTATCAACTCCTACTTGTAAAAAGCTCTTAGAGGGGATGCTGGATGTAAGCTGCATCTAGGATTCGTTTCTCAGTGCACCCTTTAAAGGACCACTATAGGCACCCAGACCACTTCAGCTTAATGAAGTGGTCTGGGTGCCAGGTCCCTCTAGGACTTTCAGAGAAATCGGCTATGTTTACATATGGGTTAAGCCACTATGGGTTAAGCCACTAGAGACGCTTCCGCGCTTCTCACTGAGATTTTCACAGGAGAAGATGCCAGCGTCCATAGGAAAGCATTGAGAATGCTCTCCTATGAGACTGGCTGAATGCGCGCGCGGCTCTTGCCGCGCATGTGCATTCTACAGATGACGACCGAAGGAGGAGGAGAGTCCCTAGCGCCGAGGGAGCCCGGCACTGGAGAAAGGTGAGTGTTTAACCCCCTTCAGCCCGGTGGGAGTGGGACCCTGAGGGTGGGGGCACCCTCAGAGCACTATAGTGCCAGGAAAACAAGTTTGTTTTCCTGGCACTATAGTGGTCCTTTAATGAACTTTGCAGCTATTTGAGTAAGCATCAAGTTATGGGAAAAACTGTAGTGATAGTTTACAAATTAATGGTGAAAGAGCACATTCCTTAATTGAATAATGTCATGTATCATTTAGTTAAAAATAAATTCAGTAATTGTTGCATTACCCTGGGTTACAGTTTTCATGCAGTTCCCAATATCAGCATCTTAAATAAAATGTTTATTTCACGATAAAGAAGTCTGTTGGCTGGTATTTTAAAATAAATAAAAAGTAATTTACTGAACCTCACTAAATAGTGTCCAGGAAATATATAACTGAATCTGTGATGAATAAAACTAGGGTGCACTAGTACCCCCACTCCATTGTTAATAGTCAAAGTTTTTTTGTTTTGTTTTTTAACTATTTCACTTACCTGGAGTAGATCAGGCGCCTCTCCCCTCCTCCACTATACTAGAACTTCCATTAGCTCTCCTGGGCTAAGTCCTGAAACCACAGGAGGTTTAGTTTATTGGATTAGGGTGATCAGCTGATGCTATAGTGCAGGGGTCCTCAAACTCTGGCCCCCCAGATGTTGCTGAACTACAACTCCCATGATTCTCTGGCTATCTATGTAATTCAAAGAATTATGTTTGTTGTAGTTCAGCAACATCTGGTGGGGTGGAGTTTGAGGACTCCTGCCATAGTGGTTATGGTGCTTATACAGATTGAACAGATGTTGATTTGCTGGTAACACCAGAAAGAATTTAAACTGGAATTTCTAGTTGAGGTGTATCTATGTGCTAGGAAATGAATAACTAATCAACAAGCTAGACATACTAATCATAATATGTATTATAAATTTGTATTGTGCATGAGTGCAAAGATGCAGGTTTTAGATTTAAATTAATAGATTTTAAAATGTTCTGCAACTGTTTTATTGAGCTTGAAAGGGCACTCCACATAACCACATGTCTAGTGTAACTTGTAGGTTAGGTTACATTGGATGGATTTTTTTTTTTTCTAAATTATTATTTTGGTATACACCCACCCTTTCTGCCATCCTAGCTGCAAATTTTCAGTGTTTCCTTTTCCTTCAAAACTGCTTCTCTGCGATGCCATTTTAATAGAAACTTGATAATTGAACTACAACTCCTAAAGCTATGCTGTGTTTATAAAGAATTCTATAAACTCATTTTAACATTGTGCCAGGCCGTCTTTTTCATGATGTGAGAACTGCAAATATCTAGAACATGAGGATGTGGTTATTTGCCAAATGAATGAGCATGTGGTCTTTTTAATTTTTTAAATTTTTTTCCTTTAATTATTCTCTAGTGTGCAAAAGCAGGACAGTTAAATGGACACTATAGGCACCCAGACCACGTCTGGGCATATAGAACCAGATCCTTTAACCTTGCAAAGGTAATTATTGCAGTAATTAATAAACTGCAATACAGCAATTACATTATAATGCTTTCCTATCAGGGGAAATCCTAATGTAATTGCGGCCATTGCCACTCCCTCGCTGGCTGACAACGGCATGGGAGGAGCGGAGGCTATGCTGAGGGACATCCGCGCTGGACTCAGTAAGTGACAGGGTTTTATGCCCTTCTGCACCAAGGCCTGGCACTATAGTTTCTCTTTAAGCAACGGCATAGCAGGACTTGTATCCTGATTTAGGGTCCACATCAGCACTCAGATATATACTTTTCAGCTTCGCTTTGATCTCCTTTTATTACTATTTATTAAAGAAGTGAAATGTAATAAATGAAACAGAATTCACTGATCCTATTAATTGAATATTCTAAACACTAAAACAACTGTAGCTTAATGAAGCAATCTGATAGTTTAGTTATCTCCTGCTCTGCTAATTAAACGTTAAATAGACACTGTAGGCACTATAACTGATTAATCTCATTGAATTGGTTATAGTGTGTTGAGTCCCTTGGCACTGTCCCTTCATTCAGTGTTATTCCATGTTTGAGCAATTCAACACTAGATAATGGTGCCTGACCACCCAGAGCCCGGCAGCCACTGTAGGTATGGCTAAGGTAACATCCCCCGGACGTACTTGAAAACCAGAGTAATCTGAATGTAACTTTCCTGATTAAATACGTTATTTTTTTCTTTCATTCTAACCATGCTAATTAATCATAACAATGGCTGCTGAGATATACAAGCTTAAAGCAGCCAGCATCACAGCCATCCATTGCTGCTCATACTAAGGCTTCTGCATTAGCCCAATCTGCACAGAGGGGTGGGCTGGTGGGGACTCCTGTTTAGCAATAAAATATTATAAATGGCTGGAAGGAGAGTGCCAGAAACCTTCAGATAAAATGTTTCCAGGCCCTATCCCCCTTTCCATTAGCTATGTTTTCAGCCCATTCCAGTCCCAGTCATATTACCCTCTGCTTTTACTATAATATCTGCCGCCTCCCCCCCCCCCCCTTTTGCTTTAATCCATTCTCTCTGTCTTCTCCTATTTTATCTTTACTAATATCTGTTCCCGTTTACCTTATCACCCATGCCTTGGGAGGCTCTATAAGTCACAGCCAATTAATCTATAAGCAAAATATTGCTAGGGCTGCATAAACAAAGTTGATGAACCTTACAGTGGCTGAGAACTGAGCAGTGCTTTTATGTGGGGGGCAACGGGGGTGTAGCGGAATATATAATTTAAAAAAAAAATGTAAGGCATAAACATAATTTCATAATGAGGAAGTTTACTACCCTATAATATTTGTCTATGTTGGCAAAATTAAGTGTTGACATCCTTCTGTCTATTGACAATATTAATAATTCTAGCTCGGGGCTTGACAAATCCCAGGCACCATGGCGCCTGGAATTTGTCAGCCCTTCAGCAGAGCTGGCTGGCAGAGGGAGCATTGGAGCTGGCCGGTAACCTGACAGAACGGCTGAGGCAGCAGTAATCTTCCTGCATTTCCCACCTGCTCCCTCGTGCAGTTTAGTGATGACGGAACTGGAAATATGGTGTCACTCCGGTCCCGGCCTCACTACAGAGGACGCGTGAGGGAGCAGAGCATAAACTGGAGGAAGGTTAGAAAGCAGCCCCACAGGGCCCCAGGAAAAGGATCCACTCCAGCTCTCCGAAAGGTATGGAGGTTAGGTTGACTTAAAGTTAAAAAAAAAAAAAAAAAAGTGTGTCTCTTTAGGTTACCAGCCCCCCTCTGAGTTTTGAAAGTAGGTGCTGCACACAGTAAAGCACTGGACTAGGTATCACCTGTAATAGTTGCGTGAGTGACTAGGCAGCAGAGAAAAGGCAGTGTTCACATTTAAAAAGCCTGCAGGGTCAAGATATAGACCGCAGAACCACACCATTAAACTGTAGTGGCTCTGGTGACCATAGTGTGCTTTATAAGAATTGTATTTTTGTGATTTTTAAATGAAACTTAGTTTTTTTTGTTTTTGTTTTTTTTTTACTAACAGTCTCCTAACCTTTTTAGCTGGCTCCTAGATTCCAAGCAAATTTGGCAAGCCCTGTTCTAGTTAGCCCTAACCTATGCCAACACTACCACCATAGCCCTAAGGCAGAGGGATTCCCTAAGCTAATGCCACTGCTGACATTTATTCTAGTTGCACAATACAACGTGCTCTGACCACGTCTACGTGCTTTATGTATTCACCTTCTGGCTATTTAAGTTATAAACACATTGGATATTTTACTAGTTACACCTACATGTTAAAGTTTACATCATTGGTAGATAGAACATTTTCCTTCAGCTAATGCTGAACTAAAACGTCTAAAGGCGATTGAGAGTCATGATATCTGCTGTTCTACAACTGTTGTGTGACTACCTGTTGCCCATCTTTGATTATGCTGCTGTTCTGTGAGCTCTAGTGTTTTAAATTAAAATCCGCAGATTATATCATATATTTGCTAAAAGAACCTGGAAATGCAAATAGTGCCTCTGCATGTGATTTTAAACACGTATTTGTGTCAAAGCTTTAAATTATATTACATCTGTTTCAGGCTGCTTGCATAAGACAGCCTTTAGGGAGTTGATCTGTTGTCTTCACTGACAACAGATAGCCATCCTGGTGGAACAGTTAAATCACTTTTGTGGAATTCAGTTCTGTTGAATAAATACAGTATATACTCGAGTATAAGTCTAGTTTTTCAGCACATTTTTTGTGCTTAAAAACCCCCACTCGACTTATACTCGAGTCACTGTCTGTATTATGGCAACTTAGAGAGCCGCGGCCGTCAGAGCCATGGCAATGATCCGCGCTGCAACCAGACCGCAAGACTTACAGTGGAGCTGACCGGAACGGAGGAGAAGGGAGCTGACAGGAGCTGCAGGAAAGGTAAGTAAATGCTTCCTGCCGCCCCCCCCTTCACAGCCCATGCCAGTAGCCCCCCTCCCTGACCAGTTAACAAGCAGGGAGGGGTGACAAAAAAATTAAAATAATAAAAAAATATTAAAATAAAATAAAAATTTAAATAATAAAAATGCCCTCCCCCCACCTAGTTCACACACACTACACAAACACACACTCTGCATTATATACACAGTGTGTGTATATAATGCAGAGTGTGTGTTTGTATGAGTGTGTGTGTGTGTATATAATTATAAAAATCACAGAATTTCATAGCCCCAAGTTTTACCCTCGACTTATCCACGAGGCATAGCATATTTCACAATTGTTGGTCACAAAACTGGACTCGACTTATACATGAGATCGACTTATACACGAGTATATACGGTACATGTTTGGATTCTGCTAAGAACCCAGATTTTGTAGAGACTCAAGATTTTATTTTGAATCCACCCTCTGGCTTGCTTCTGTAAACAATTTAAGTCATTAATTGCTTGCAAGACTTTTTCGTCTCCACCTGCTGCCAGGGAATGTTTGGGTACTATTGTAGTAGATGTACTGCTTAGCAGCACTTGGTAACAGTTTGCATTTGCGATGTGTCCTCCATTTTACAATTTAAGCTAAGAAAACTTGTTGCACCCTCATTGTAAACTTCAGTTTTTTTGCTTTTGCTACGCATGTCTGATTGTTTTGATCAGCTGGTCAGACACAAGAACTGGCAAATAGTTGCCAGCTAAATAAAAAAAAAAAATGAATTTCAGCAATTTTTCAGCTACTGGTAGTGATAAATTTATATTTCACTGTTAAATAAACCCAATATTTATATTCCATTCATGAACTTATTGGAACTTACTGTAAAACATGATTGGTGACCCCCTTTTAAACCAATTTATCATTGATTAATTCTTCCTGTTTCAGCTTTGGAAAATCTATTTTTATTTAATCATTTGAATAAAAAAACTATGCATTTGTTGCTTTTAATTTCAAATAAGGGATAATGTTCTTGCCTTTAGGTATCAGGGTCACCCTCAAACCATAAAAGTGCTATTAGAGGGGCAAAGATTTAAAAATAATATCAGGTATTACTTTACTGAGAGCTCAGTGGATGCATGGAATAGCCTTCCAGCTGAAGTGGTAGAGGTTAACACAGTGAAGGAGTTTAAGCATGCGTGGGATAGGCATAAGGCTATCCTAGACATGAGATAAGGCCAGAGACTATAGAATGTATTTAGAAAATTGGTCAGACTAGATGGGCCTAAAGGTTCTTATCTGCCGTCACATTCAATGAGACCATTAAATATATTTGTTTATAGTATTAAAGATACACTATAGTGTAAGGCATGGGTCGTCAACCTGGTCCCTACCGCCATCACCACTTGTGGCCCCGGCCCGCGAGGCAAACCGCCGGGGCCGCATATGGAGGGGTCCATTGGGTGTCCCATGCTGTCAGGGCCACCCGATGGATGTGGATTGTGAGGGGGCCCGGTCTGCGCTGGGTGCTTTAACAGCGAGACCGGGCCCCCTGTGATTACATCACAGAGCTGGGAGGAAGTGACTGCATGTCACTCCTCCCAGCTAACACACAGACCGCGCGGGAGGGAGTCAGAGTGGGAACTCTGACTCCCATCCACCTGAGCCACCACTGGACCCCAGGGAAAGTCACCCTCCTGCACCTAAAAGGTAGGAAACAGGAGGGTGACTAAAATATTTTGTGTTTGTTTGTGTATGTGTCTTTGTATGTGTGTGTCTGTGTGTGTATATGTGTGTCGTGTGTGTGTATGTATGTATGTATGTGTGCCTGTCTGTTATAGTGGGCTATAGTAAGTAATAGTAAGTGGGATGCCTAGCTCAGTCTTCCTACTGGGCATTGCTATAAGGAAGGTAAAAAAATAAAATAAAAAAGGTGGTGAGGGGAATTGAGGAGGGGAGCTGACGCACAGATGAGAAATCACATTATGCGCAAACAGAGAAGTTGTCTGAATATCACCGAAAGAGGAGACCTTCGTTTGGTCCTTACGAAAGCCAATCTAATGCTTTCCCATAGTAAAGCTTTGGGAGACTATTGTGCATGTGTGTCAAAATGCTGCGCTGTGCCAATCTGCATCTCCTCATAGATGCATTGAATGTCTAGCTGAATTTAGGTAATGCACACTGTGCAGCAATGGCCTTGGATGCACCCCTATTAGCCATCTGCGTGACTGCCACTAGAAGTGTTACTAGGCACGAATGTTTATATAACAAACATTTATATTGAAAAGCCTGCAGGAACTGGCTAAAGCAGTGGTTCCCAAACGTTTTAGGTTCAAGGCGCCCTTAATATTTCAATATTTTTCCACACCTCCCCAAGTCAAAACTATTTTCTAGGTTGTATAAATGTACAGTGCAGCAGCATATACTTGGCCCCTATTTGACAGGAATTCTAGCCATTTAAGCGCAGATCCAGAACCTAATATTGGGAGGGGCACTTGTAGATTATTTAAAGAAACAATCCAGGCACAATAACCACTACACTACTTTGTAGTGGTTTTGCTGCCAGTAGTGCCCTCCCAGAGTAAGTAGTCAAACTGTTTAAGAACAGTTAGTCAACTTACCTGGGATTTGCAGGGATAGGGGCAGTAGTGTGTGTGTGTGTGTGTGAATGGTGCAGTTTGTGTGTGTGTGTGTGTGTGTGGGGTGCAGTGTGTGTACGGGGGTGCATTGTGTTTGTGAAAGATGTAGTGTGTGTACATGAGGGGTGCAGTGTGCGTGTATGTGGGTCAGTTTGTGCGTGAGGGGTACTGTCTGTGTGGGCAGGTTGTATGAGGGGCACAGTGTGTGTGGCAGTGTGTTTGTATGGGGGTGCAGTGTGTGTGGGGGGGTTATTTTGTCTCTGTGGGGGTGGGAGGGACAATAAATATATTTTAAAAAATTTGTTTTAATTAAAAATAACTTTTCTCATATCCCCTCTCGCTGCTTACCTTTGCCTGGGACGGGGGACAGTGCAAGACAATCCCTGGTGGTCAGGTGGGGAAGCCTTGGCGGGCCTAATGGTGAGAGTGATCTCTAGCCTGCAGCTCAGGTTAGAGTTTACACTCGTGAGATTCGGAACATTGCCACGGTAACCACGGCAATGCTCCGAGCTCGCGAGAGGAGAACACGGCGGAGCTGCAGGTTAGAGCTCCCATGGGTCCTCTCTCCCTCCCCTGCCGGCTGCCGCATTACACTGCTAGCGGGCCGTAGAGGGAGATATCTGATCTCCCCTCCAGTCCTGCAGATCCGGCAGGGAAGAGTGAGGCACGGTTCCCGGTGCTATGATCATTTGATCATAGCACCGGGAAAATATATCTTGCGGAGCCCCTGTGTGCCCCAGGGCGCCGCAGCACACAGTATGGGAGCCGTTGGGCTATAGAGACCAAAACCACATTATTAAGCTGTAGTGGTTCTGGTGATTTTAGTGTCCCCTTAAATATCCTGACCAATTATTATAAGCCCCTCTGTAGAACTATACAACGCTAAATTAGTGAGGTTTAATTTGTGGATAAAATCTTAATTGGCCAATTTGAGTCTGCTAAGCTATGTTGGAGTGTACCGTATTTGTCTTTGTCTTATAGGACAGATGTCAGGAAGGAATTAGCAGAAAACATATCCTCCTCCATTACCACACAAATTGTATCACAAAAGCGGAAACCTGGGAGGAAAAATATCAGTGGCAAATATTATGGTTGGATTTCCACCTGTTCTGCCTTAAAGGAACATTCCAAGAGCCATAATCACTACAGTTCACTGTTAAGGTTATGGTGCCTGTAGTGTCCTGATAACCCCAGTGTAAGTAGTCAAAATGTGTGAAAACGGTTTGACTTCTTACCAAGGGTTCTCCAATGCATCGGTTCCCACCTCTTCTTTGTTTGTTTTTTTGTTTTTTCTCATTAGCTGGAAAACCTTTGCAAGGAGATCCTGTTGGCTCTCCTGAGCTAAGCCCTCCATCTTCAGTGTTGGCAACGTTCTCTTTAAAAGCCAATTCTAGTTCTCCCCTGGCATTGAGAGGATTACTGCGCAAATAAGTGTGAATGACTTTGCACGCACTAGTAACCTCTAATGTAAGTGAATGGAAAGGTGAAATAGAACCACCTACAAATAAATCTTTTTAAAAAAGATAAAGAAAAATTGCAATAAGAGTGCAAGAACACAAGTCATGTGTGTGTGCTTTTCTGCTGTGCTAGGCTTTTGAGCAGATTGTTGGCAGGCTGGTTGTGCGTGCCACTCTAACATCTTTGTCTGTAAATAACCCACGCACCATCACTGATGGGTCCTTCCATGTTTTGTATTATTGCATTATGTTTTGTTATATTTATGTTTACACTCCATATACACTACATCAGCTTTATGTGTCTGAGAGTGAAAAGGAAATGGGATTGTTACCTTTTTTGACTGTCTAACTCTGGTTATAAAAATCCCCACATGGTTTGTTTTTTAGTGATCCATGCCATAGAATTGGTGAGCGTTTGTATCACCATTTTACTTAATAGAACTGGGAAGGACGTGCTGTGTTTAAATTTTTTTCATTTATTTTTATTATAATTTCTGTTTGAGGTTAACTTTTCAAGTTGGATTTTTTTTTCTTTATTTTTAATCATCATTGTAAAAGAAAAGCTAAAGATTAAACATTTTCTGGCTGCTAAATCCATTTGATGAGTGAATCCTGGTTCATGGGAACAATGGTGTTCTTTGTCATGTACATTACTCTTATTTCGTACAGTATTTACTGCCACACCCGTAAATAGATCTCTACCAAAGTACAAATAGTCATTCTGCTTCAGGCTGCAATCAAAATACTTCCAGGGCAAAGTTGCTTATGTCCCCCACACTTCCCCTCAAGAAAAAACAATAATTGCAGTCACTTGCATCCATTTCCATGGGACATGGTGGAAGAGTCACATAAACTTCTGAGTTTTTGATGCTTAATCTATGGTTGGGGATTTCTCCAGCACATGGTTATGCATATAGCTACCTGAAGTATTTTTTTTTATTTATTTTTTTTATTTTTTACACGCACCTGTTTTGTGGATGATAGAGGATCTTTCAGTAATGGAGAGATTAATAGAAGGCTATGAGACAGACTCAAATAAATGCTGTACCTATATGCCAATATGCGTGTTCAGCTAGAATAACTTTGGTTGAAGGAGATGGTGTTCCTTGCATAATAATCCACTTAATAAATTATATAAAATTATAACGTTTTTTTTTTTTTTTTAAACAAATAGTCACATTAGGCACAATAACTAACTTATCTATGAAGCAAACACCATTTCCCTGAGGTTGGATCCAGGCAGGCAAAGGTGAGTTTATTTAAATTTGAATTAAAAAAAAAAAAAAAAAATTATTTTTTATTTTTAACTCAATAATCATGATATAGTTCGGCAAAGGTGAGTTTAACATACCTGTACTTTGCGGGTGCAAAACACACGAAATTAAACTGGGACTGAATGCATTTCACGCCACTACTAGTCTTTATGAAATACTTATTTTGCAGAGGGAGTGCAGTGCTCCTTTAAAACTGCCTGGCCCTCAGGCACTTCAACCCTATAATTCCCTGATAAAGGGGGAAAAAAACATATTTGTTTAATTTTCTGACCTCTATGATGCAGAGGTCAGGGAAACACAATCAACTCCATGATGCAGAGGTCAGGGAAACACAATCAACTCCATGATGCAGAGGTCAGGGAAACACAAGCAACTCCATGATTTAGAGGTCAGGGAAACACAAGCAACTCTCTTGGAAGTTTATGTTCTATTAAATTTATTGCAAGAGGTTGCCTGCCCAAGCTGAATTACAACGAATATCCTGCTCAGTGAGATCATGTTAGGAGGTAATATATACAATATTTACATCTGATGTAATAGTGAGGCAAACGCGTGCTAAACAACTAATATGTAATAGAACGACAATTAAAGGACCACTCTAGGCACCCAGACCACTTCAGCTTAATGAAGTGGTCTGGGTGCCAGGCCCAGCTAGGGTTAACCCATTGTTTTATAAACATAGCAGTTTCAGAGAAACTGCTATGTTTATTAATGGGTTAAGCCTTCCCCCAAAGCCTCTAGTGGCTGTCTCATTGACGGCCACTAGAGGCGCTTGCGTGCTTCTCACTGTGAAAATCACAGTGAGAGCACGCAAGCGTCCATAGGAAAGCATTATGAATGCTTTCCTATGCGACCGGCTGGCTGCGTGCGTAGCTCTTGCCGCGCGGTGCATTCAGCCGACGGGACGGGGCGGATCGGAGGAGGAGAGGAGACAGAGAGCTCCTCGCCCAGCGCTGGAAAAAGGTAAGTTTTAACCCCTTTACCCCTTCCAGAGCCGGGCGGGAGTGGGACCCTGAGGGTGGGTACAAAGAATATGTGAACAGAAGTACAAGGCAAGTAGCTACCTGGTCAACCATACCTAAAATTCCTATAGTAGGGTTAACGCAATCTCTCGTAGAGCTAGAACTTCCATGATGCTTTGACAGCCGTAAGTTAAAGGGACACTATAGGCACCCAGAACACTTCTGCTCATTGAAATAGTCTTGGTGCAGTGTGCCAGGTTCCTTAACCCTGGAATTGTAATTATAATGGCCTTGGAAGGTTAACTCCACTTCTAGTGGCTGTCTACCAGGGGCGTTGAACCCTTATGGAGGCTTAGTGAAGGCTGAAGTGCTTTTGTGTGTGTGTAGTATTCCTTTTAACATTTGGTTTTATTATTGCTAGATTATAAGCTTGTTTTAGTAGTAGTAATAACATGTATTGTATGCATGAATTACCATCTGGTATATATCCCCTCCATGAGCTTTTTATAAATGGTAATAAAAAAGTACATGAAAGATTGTCACTTCTATAAAATGGACATAAATATATTGATTGTTAAAGGACCACTATAGGCACCCAGACCACTTCAGCTTAATGAGGTGGTCTGGGAGCCTGGTCCAGCTAGGATTAAACCTTTTTTTCTATAAACATAGCAGTTTCAGAGAAACTGCTATGTTTATAAATGGGTTAAGCCAGCCTCTAGTGGCTCTCATTGACAGCCACTAGAGGGCTTCCGTGCTTCTCACTGCGATTTTTCACAGTGAGAAGACGCCAGCATCCATAGGAAAACATTGTGAATGCTTTCCTATGGACTGTCTGAATGCGTGCACGGCTCCTGCCGCACATGCGCATTCAGTCGGAGAGGAGGAGGAGGAGGAGAGTTCCCGGTGCTGGAGAAAGAGGCAAGTTTAACCCCTTCCTCTCAATCCAGCCGGGAGGGGGACCATGAGGGTGGGGGCACCCTCAGGGCACTATAGTGCCAGGAAAATTAGTATGTTTTCCTGGCACTATAGTGGTCCTTTAAGGTAGTTTAAGATTAAAAGGGTGAAAGGTGAGATTAAATCTGTGTACATTTTTTACCCTTTATCTGTAGTACAATTAGGTTAGGTAAATGTTCTTGTCAAATATGTACAGTATTGTTTTTTGTTTATGCAAATACAAATTATTTAACTCCACTCAAGGTGCCAGTTGACTGATAAGACATTTTTTTTTCCTTTTGGATCACAGTCAAAATGTACGTACATAATTTGTGCAAAACACCTATGTGTAGAAATGTATAGCAGACCAACACTTAAGGGTCTTTATACAAAAACTGTCCTTTTTTTTTAATGAGAGAACATATTGTATTCAAATTTGACTACAATGAAGTGGGGGAAGAAATCAAATGTGTGTGTGTGTGTGTGTGTGTATATATATATATATATATATATATATATGATTGATTTATTTTTTTACGTCTTGATTTCAGAGTTGGTATGTCTTTTAATGAGTTACTGTGGGTGTAAGTGAGCTCATGTTTGTATTTTAGTGTGTGACATAACAGATCTTTAAATATGCTGACATGCTATAATTGGGCAATTGCCAGTTCTGGTTGGCTTTGTGCAACTACAGAGTTGAATAAATATTCACCCTTTCTTTATCTGCTCTTTCATGATTTCCCTCAGCTTCATTTTTAATGTAAAGGGCTCCTATTATTTTTTTTGTACCTTGCCCCTCCTCCCGCCATATTGTTTTCTTTTCTTCTCATACAAGACTGGACATTTGCGAAAATTGAATTTATAGTACACACCTCTGAATCGGGATAGAATGTTTTTGGCATGTCACCTCCCATGCAATGACCAACAGTGGGGGACTTGTGCTAGGTATTATTGTGCCCCATCACAACAGAATGGTGCCTTAGAAGCAAGTGGACTGCAATAGCTGCCCAGTAACTAAATATTTAATCCCAGCTAAACCGTAAACTGCCAATGATTTTGCCCATTTGGGATTGCAGGCATTTGGGATTTAATGAATAAGCCTGTAGGTGAATGGTGTACCGTACAATTGGACAGGAAGCAAGTCTTGAAATTAGACTTTGCGGTTTAGGCACTTAACATTGTAGTGTAGTGAATTGAAAAATCTAAAAAAAAAAATGGAGGCTAGAACAGCCAACATTGACTGTAGGGGAGTTTGTTTCCTAATCAGCTATTGCCGCCTAGATTTTACAGTTCAGTTTTCAATTCACAACATTTTAGTGTTCAGTGGACAAACCTCTCAACAGTCTATCAGTCCCTCTACACTTACTCAGTGGGGATTTAAAATTAACTCTTTCTCTTTCACATTTACTTCCACATTTGCGTGCATGATCCTTTTTTTCTTGTGTTTAACACTATTACTACACCAGAAAAGGGACAGACGTGCCCACTGAAGTGGCATGACATATTTTAATCGTCATCCCCTTTCTAACAGGACCCTGCTGGGAGCAGGGCTGTCTTTATTATTGATTGGACCCTGGGCAAAGCATTTGCTTAGGCCACTTGGATCCTTCCCCCCCCCCTCCTACTTTGCATGCATTTACGCCAGCCACCCCATGCAGTGGTGGAACTGAAGTAAAGAGGTGCAAGAATTTTTTGGGGTCCCCTCCTGTTGCAAGGGTGACAAAAAGGTAGATTACCATCTGTCGTGTGGCTCCATCAATGCATTGATAGCTGGGGATCCACCGCTTACCCATGTTTGCAGGTTTGTATTTAGCACAGAACAGTATTTGTGTGTTTGAATGTAAGTATATTTTTGTATGGAGTATGTTTGTGTAAATGTAGGATAGTGCTTGTATTTGGTGTTTGCATTTGAATGCAAGCATGTATTTATGTGCAGTGTTGGTTTTGTAATGCGGGGGTGTGTTTATAATTTTGATCATTAACACTGAAGTATTTGTATATGTGTATTTGTGTGTTGTGGTGGCGTGTGAATGCTGAGATGTATGTATGTGTGTATGTATGTGTGTATGTATATGTATATATGTGTATATATGTATGTGTGTGTATATATATATATATATATATATATATATATATATATGTGTGTATATACACAATGACAACATCCAGACTACATACAGATACACACTCCCACACAGAAACATATAGTGACAGACATACTGACACATACTAACATACACACATACTGAAAGACATGCTGACACTTTCACTCACACATACAAACATACTGATACAGACATGCACACACACATAGCCATACTGACACATACACTGGCACACACACACTTACAGACATACTGACAGACACACATATACAGACACACGCAATATGTACACTTTTAAGCCCACCCTCCAGTTTCCTACCTTGGAGAGTTGTGGTTGGGAGTTGGGGGTCTGGCTCTCTTGGCCTGACCGCCTCCTCCGTCTTTTCCGTGCGGCTCATCTTTGTGGGAGGAAGTGACTCACGGCCATCACTTCTTCCCATGTCGTGCTGTTAAAGCGCCACCGTGTACGACCTAACATAAGCCTACTATGTGGCCCCTAATTCATGGGCCTTCTTAGTGTGTGGGTCCCCGGTAGGTCTGGCGAGCCTATGGAGGGCAGCGGGGCCCACGGGGCAACTGCTTTGGTCCCCCTAGGAGTAACTGGGCCCGGGGCAGCTGTCCCATTTGCCCCTCGTTAAAGACTGCCCTGGCTGAGAGCACTGCTGAAGCGCTCTCTGCATTGTGGAAGTGTCATAAAAACAAACTTCCACCTCTCTAACAGTGGCACAAAAAATGTAGCAGTAATAAAAGGTTCACTCTTGCACCTCCTTTTCGTATATCAACACTTTGACTTTATAAAATAACAAAAAAAATAACAAAAAAGAGATGCCAGGCAGAATGGTCCAGAAGAGAGCCACCAGGAAAAATGTATTGATTAACATAAATAATAGCACAAATTAATAAATAGTGGTGCATCATATTTTCATAATCACCCCAATAGATCTGTCTGTAAACAACTCATGTGTGACCTCAATCAGCTCCTACTTGTCAGTCATTCAGCTCTTTCCCCTATATAGAGTTAATAGTTAGCAAGTAGATAAAAACAAATTTGGTTAAAATAAAAGAAAATTTGGTTCATACTTCTAAAGTGGGTTTGCATACAATTTCTAGAGCTTTTAAAGGGACACTATAGGTACCCAGACTTCAGCTCATTGAAATGTTCCGGATGCACTGTCCCTGACAGTTTAACCTGCATTGTAATTATTGCAGTTATTGATAGTGGTGGTGGTTCTTTAATCCTAGCATATGTTTTTAGTGTGCCTAGTATTCTTCAAAGAAATAAAACTTGTTCCATCATTAGTCCATTGTCTGGGTAGTGACTAAACCCACAAAAATACTAGGCACAGAGCAAGTAGGTTCTCCCATTGGATAAGGTGTAATGACTTTTGGTAAAGCAGCATACTAACTAGAGTAGGTAGAACGTTCTTCCAAATTGGAAATAGTAGCTGAAGTCACCAATAATGGCCCTGCCCCATCTGCTGGACCTGCAAAGAATTTTTTCAAGGTTAAATCTTGTAGGAGCTTAGTCACCAAATGAAGATATAACAACATTGAGATGGTACACAATTGAGACCGCTAAATAAGTTTCCTCTAGCATCCCTTACGGTAGTAAATGAGATATATCAACTACATTGTCTTAGTCTATCGAGAACGTCTGTTTCCATTTGTCTAAACTTTTATTTCTTATGTATGATCCTTTCTGTTCTTTTTGTATTGTCCATCACAGCTTCCTCTTCTTTAAGTTTCTGTCTCATTTTCCCCTCTTTTTGTAGTTTTTTGTTCTTCTATAAGTAGATGTGACTTGTATCCTCCCTTGGTGTACTGTAAACTTTAGTCACTTTATCCTCCCACTTTACCAGAATAATGTGGAAGATTATCATAGTTTGGATGGTGTGAGCGCCCCAAAGACTATTTGCATTAAAGCCACTTCAGTCAGCTGTAGTGGGTGTGGTGCTTAGACTGGCTCTTAAAGGATCACTATAGGGTCAGGAGCACAAACTTGTGTTCCTGACCCTATAGTGCTAAACCAACCATTTAGGTGGCTTGACCACTGTAAGCCCTCCTATAAAAGTTTAAAACACCTTATTTCCAGCACCGCGCGGGTCTGCTGGTGCTGGCTCACCCCCTTTGTGGCATCATCAAAATGGCTGATTTTTAGCCATAGGGAAAGCATTGGATTGGCTAAAATCAGCACGGGGGTGGGGCCAAATGCAGTTTTTGCCAATCAGGACCTCCTCGTAGATATACGTCGAATCAATGCATCTCTGTGAGGAAAATTCAGCGTCTCCATGCAGAGCGTGAGGACGCTGAACAGCAGGGCTGCTTACTGTGCAGCCCTGAGCCAGGAAACCCCTCCAGTGGCCATCTAAGGAGTGGCCACTTGGAGGTGTCCTTAGGGGCAATGTAAACACTGCCTTTTCTTTGAAAATGTTTACATGAAAATGCCTGAAGGATATGATTATACTCACCAGAACTACATTTAGCTGTAGTTGTTCTGGTGACACTAGTGTCCCTTTAAAGACTACTCTAGACTGCTGACTAACATGTGGATGTACAAACAAGTGATAAACACCACTTGGTTTTTTTATTTACTAAATTTAGGGGGGGGGGGGTTACTTTTCTTTGACCATTGACAGTTTGTTTTTTTTTGTTTGTTTTTTGCAAAACCAACCTGAAAAACAGTCTTCAATTTCTCTAGCTTTGCTCTTATGGTTTGAAATGTGCAACTCCCCACTGTTTTTGGTTTTGTGTATAGAAACCTCCCTACCCCCCTTTACTAATGTGTATCTAAAGGGACGCTGTAGGCACCAGATCATCACATAAGGTTTTAGGGAAAATAGCCTGTGCCTGCAGTCTCAGCAGTTTATACACAGCCTTTTCTGACCGCCACTAGAGGGACTTCCTGGGCTCAGTCCTGCAAAGATTTCTTTGCATGGCGACCCTAAACACTCCCCATAGAGATACATTGACTGTGAGGAGATGCTCCCAGGTACATTAGGTGATTTGCTGTGCTTGTACAATAGCCTTTTATTGCTTTCCAAAGGGGGGAAGCATTGGAATGGTTGAGATCCTCAGGTTTGATGGTGTCAGCCATGGAAGTTGGGTGACAGCATGCACCCTAGTGCAACGGGGGAAATAAAGTATGCTAATCATTCCTTTATACACACAGTGAGTACAGAAATCGAAACCTTTAGAAGGACACTATAGCGTTGAGAAGACGTGTGTTTTCCTATTGTAGGGGTTCTCAATTAATCTTTCCCGTGGAACCCTTTGACATAGTGTATCGACTTTGTGGTACATCGTGTGTATGTATATGTGTGTGTGTGTGTATATATATATATATGTATATATGTATATGTATATATGTATGTGTGTGTGTGTGTATGTATATATATATATAGTGTGTGTGTGTGTGTATATGTATATATGTGTGTGTGTGTGTGTGTGTGTGTATATGCACAGATGCGCGTGCACACACACCTTGACACAACACAGATTCACACACTGATATTTATATTTGCTCTAAACTTTACTTTTTGTCTTCCTTTAGTGCTGCTGGCTAAGGATGGTGTGTCAGGTCGGCAGCTGCTCACTCCCCGCTGTGCTCCCTCTCCCTCCAGCCAGCGCGCTCTGTCAGGGAGGAAGCATCCCATACAACAGGGGTCCAGTCGCGGTCTTAGATGCCCGCGGCGCCTGGCCGGCCCCTGTTTGGTGATACCCATCTGGTGGCCCTAAATACTTGGGCCACACGACGGGCAAATCGCTGTGGACCCCCGATTTTGTTCTCGCGAAACACTACTTGGAAATCGCTGTCCTATAGTGTTACTTTAAAACTGCCTGCATGTTTAGTAGTAGAGGTATTAATTGTGAGATGAAACTACTTGTTTTTGCTCTCCTGTCCCACTTCAACGCCCATTACATACATAAACATTTAATGTATGTGCAAGAATACATATCAGAAGGAGACTGGCCGTTTTATAGCTGCGGAGATATCTACAAATCACTGCAGTTAGAAGGATCTGTGCTTAGGGAAGTAGGTACAAGGGACTTTCCTTGCACTAGAATTTCTGCAATAAGCATGCTATTATTGGGATCAGAGAGTGCCCTGTAACATACATTTTACAAGGAGTATAATCTATACAGACAATATAATCTAAGCACTTAAATTATTACACATGTTCTACCACAAATAGGATAGAATGAATAAAATTTAATGGGGTAAATACACACGATGTGCTGAATCGAAGTTACTCATATCCTACCCACAACATCCTGGTTGCAAAAACAATTTTTAACAGTGACTGTATGTTGGCAACATCATTAACAAAAACATCTCCTAGATCTAAGCTCGTTTGTGTGGGTCTGCCTTGGATACCAGATTGTTATGGCAGCATAGAGTCATAACAAGGGGTTAAACTGTGTCTGCTTCTGATTTATACTCTCTGGAGGAAATGTCTAGTATTTGTCCCTTGCTGCTTTTTGTTGTTGTAATATGATCTGCACATGAACACCTGCTTTCCATTAATAATCTAGAAGGGGGGAAGGAGGTGTGGGGGAGGGCTTTCTATCAAGTAGTTTATACTTTCATATATGCTCCTTCAAAAATATTCAAAGGCTCTTGTTTAGTGAGTTCATAGCCTGCTACAAATAAAGAACATACAGTAGTAAATGGTAAAAAAAAAAAAAATACTACCTTGTCAGATGTGTTTTTAAATACATACTTTAATTATGATTAGCGTAAAATAGAAGATATTCATCTCTATATTTATCTTCAAAGTATAGTTCTGCTCAGGGTTTACCTTAGGGTTAATCCAGCCTCTAGTGGCTGTCTCACTGTGATTTTCACAGTGAGAAGATGCTTGCGTCCATAGGAAAGCATTGAGAATGCTTTCCTATGGACTGCCTGAATGCGTGTGCATTCAGCCGATGATGGGGAAAGGAGGCGGAGAGTCCCCACCACCGAGGGAGGACGGCAGGGGAGAAAGGTAAGTGATTTAACCCCTTCCTACCCCTAGAGACCCTATAGTGCCAGGAAAACAAGTGTGTTTTCCTGGCACTATAGTGGTCCTTTAATGACTATGAGGGGGTGGGCAGTTGTCACTATGTGATTTTATAAAATGTATAGGGTTTAGGTTTGGACTTGAGACATTATATTGAGTTGGTTTTGGATGTTGCTTAAGTCAATATGCAGGAGGGACCATAACATTTACCCTTGGGCTGAAGCCCCTGGTGTTTTTGTTACCCAACGATGCTTCTGCTCAACAGCCCATTTTTGGACATACTCTTTCTGCAGACAGACAAATCTGTGAGTGATGTGCTTAATTTAACACACACCCCTGCACACCCCTGCCCACTTTTTAGATGGTTACTTCCTGGTGCAGTGCTGCACGTCCTTAAGAAACCACCTGGAGGAGCAGAAAGCTCAGCTGATGTTCTCAGCCAACGAGCTGGCCTTGCTCAGGTATGCTTGGTTCATCCGAGCTAATGGAAGCTACTTGCAGATGCTTTTGAGTACATTGTAGGAGTTGTCTGGCACCCAGCAGACCTAAGATAAGTTGTCAAACTATTCTCAAACAGTTTGACTTGTGCTGTGCTAGGGCACTCCTGACACCATAGACACTAAAGTGGTATGTAGTACTTTTTTTGATGCACAGACACTATCATTGGCTGAGAGCAGTGATGCTTTCAGCCAGTGAATGAGCGGCAGGATCGATATCCAGGTTATGTATTTCTGTAGAAGGCAGATGTCGTAACCTGCCTACATCAGTAAAATTGCTTGCCCATTTCCATGGCACCTGTGTGGTGTATATTTATTACACACAGTCTTATGATGACTATAAAAAGGAAGTCTGTCCAAAGCAGTTCCCCTTTTATGAAGCAATTAAATGCCATTCTGTAAGCATTTTTGCTTTTTTTTTCTCACCAGGGGATTTTAATTGGTTAAAGGGAAATGAGGCAGTCTTTCATGCATTCCTCTATGTATGCATGCATGTTTGTATGTCTAGAGAAGATGAGTAATACATTTTTAAGTCCTCCACCCAAAGATAAGTCATTGGAGAATGGAATTCTAGAATGTGATAAACATTTGAACTTGCAAGCAATCAAATCAAACTGTTAGTATATCAATTGACTGTATTTAGGGGTTTGTCCTTAAAGGAGCCCTATAGTGTTAGGAATCCACAGCTGTGTTCCAAACACTATAGTGTCCCTGTGCTCCCCCCACAGGCGAGTAAAGGGTTAAATGACCCTTTTAACACATGTGACTGCAGTGCTGAGGTCCCCCAGTGCCGACTCCATCTCCACATCCTCATGTCAAAGTGTCAACTAATGAGCATGTCGCTCTGCTTGCATTATATATTCCCTATGGGAATTTTCAAGATTTTGGATGTCCTTATGGAAAGTGTGAAGATATCGTGCATCATTTCACAGACTCTGTGAAACTGCAGGAAGCACTGCTAGTAAAGGTCTGGTAGCCAGCCACTGGAGACAGTCTTAAAGGGATTCTATAGTGTTATGAATACAAATCTGTATTTCTAACACTATAGTGCTCTCTCGATGTTCACTTTTTGAAACTGTATAACATGAGGAAGTTGATATTCTATCCATGAATACTCCGTATTCTTTTAAGTATCTTATTTGTTTATTATTGGCATTTAGAAAGCACCAACATATTCCGCAGCACTGTATTATTGGGGCAAACTACAATATGAATACAGTGAAGACCCTTGCTGTGAGAGGGGATCTAGCCCCTGAAGATGTTTTATACAGAGAACTTTGCTAGATAGCCTATGCGCTTACAATGAGTTTAAAATGGGGAGATGAGACGAGGTAGCAGGAAGAATTTAGAGGTGGTGGCAGAGATAGTTAATGATATAATTGCATTAACTGGCTTCATGTTAAGGGAAAGAGGAAGTGTTTTCTTGTTGTGTAGCTAACATGTGGCAGCAGGGGTAGGAAACCTTTTAGAAGTAATGTGCCAAAATTGCTAAGTTCTTGAAGTTCCTTGGCTCCCCCCCCCCTTTTTTTTAAAAAAAAAAAAAGCTTGTAGGTTACCGTATTCTGTTTGTGTTATTTTATGAGTGCTGCAGTTGCTTTGTGGTGGTGCTGTTATATTGTATATGTTCATGCGTAGTTTGTGCTATTGTGTATGATACCTATCTATGGGGGCTGCTAGTGGAGTTGTTTGCTGTACTGTGTAAATTGAGAATTGTCCCTCACCACCTGCAATCACAGTTCAGTTTGAACTAGAAGATATCTGAAGTCCATATATACCATGAAACTGCACCTCTAGTGCCATGGGTTGCTGATCCCTAGTATATAGTATAGTTGTAAGAATATTCTATAAAGAGTATGTTAAACAGCTGGAAGTGCTTAGTGGAAATGAAGTGGCTTTCTTTCAGTTATTTTGTGGAATTGGGCTTTAAAATTGCAGGGAAAACAAACAGAAATGGAACTTAACTTTTTTTGAGGAGATGAGGATAATTTACCTGAAGCTTAAATAGCTCCCTCTGTCTCCCCCCTCACTCGCGGCCCTTCTCCACCGGCCAATAAAAGGTTAATAAACCATTATTTACTCACACGATGCCAGCGCTAATGTCCCTCTGCTTCTTCAGACGTCATCCGACGGGGTGGGTTAATGCGCATTCACAGGAAGTGCATTAGGCCCTCCCTTAGAAAATCTTTGCTACAATGCTTTCCTGTGGGGTTTAACTTATAGATAGGATAAGAACCATTCTGCCCATCTAGTCTACCCAATTTTCTAAATATGCAGAGCGTTAGAATGTCCAGCATTAGTTAAGTGACTTAGTCACCTAGCAAGCAGGAAGCGCTTTTGTGGTTGCTCTGAAACTGCTTTGTTATACATTGCAGGACTAAAGGGACACTCCAGGCACCCAGACCACTTCTGCCCATTGGAGTGGTCTGGGTGCCAACTCCCACTACCCTTAACCCTGCAAGTGTAATTATTGCAGTTTTGTGCTACAGCGTCACTGGACATCCTAACGCTGTGTGAGGACCTCCAGCGTCGCTAAAATCCCCATAGGAAAGCATTGAAAAACATTTTCAATACTTTCCTATGGAGAGGTCTAATGCGCCTGCGTGGCATTGCTGCGCAAGCGCATTAGGTCTTCCCCGCCGGCGGGCGTGATGAAGGGGAGGAGCGTGAGCGGAGGAAGAAGCAGCGACATGTCGCTGCCTCTGGTAAGTCACTGAAGGGGTTTTCACCCCTTCAGCAACCGGGAATGGGAGGTGGTGAGAGGGAGAGGGGACCTGCAGTGCCAGGAAAACTGGTTGGGGAAATAGGGACACTGTACCCGGACCACTTCGATAAGCGTGCCTATAGTGTCCCTTTAGGGGAGTCTCCAGTAGAACTGTTTTAAGCTGTATAGCATCACGTCCAGAGTGAAATCTAACTAAATTGTGTTGTGCAATGTTTTGTAAGCAGTCTCTTAAATGTGTTCTGAAACAATTTTAGAGGGAGAATTAACGAGATGGAGCAGACCACCAAGAATTTTAAGCACATTTTATAAATGTATATAATTCCATCAGGAGACCTGTCAATAAGAACCTGTTCTGTGCTAGGTCTAAACTCAACTTGACTTTGTTTACTTTAAAAAAGTTGCGGTGTATATACTTTTTCTGCAGTGGTGACATTTTCACTACAGAATACCACACTTATTACTTCCAGGCATCCACCTTGCTGTTTATAAATTCTTCTTGAAAATCGTAATAAAGTCTGCACGTACATATTTATAAGATTATAGTACCGACTAATATTTGGCTGTTTTTGTTTACAGGTCAAGAATTTGACTTATCCGAAGCATTAGACAAACCTGGTAAGTGTGATATACTATTCAATCCAATGTTCCAACTAGAAGTTGCTTGTATTTTAACATGCATTTAGACATGAACACACATAATGAATACAACATTTGCCAATGTAACACTTGCATGCATGTGTGTAAGGTGTACTTCAAAGTTCCAAGTGATTTTGAAAATGGACTAATTGGTAAAATTGGATTTCTGTGATTTTCTATTAAATAGTGAATTATTGGTAAACCTTGCTACTTGGGAGAGGTAAATATTATCTCTCTTTTCAGTGGAAACTACTCCAAACAAACCTGCATCTCCTACTGATGGTAGTAAGTACATTTGTGCTTTTTCCAAATATCAAAATTAGCTGCTGCTTCTTCTTTTTTGTTTTTGTTTTTGTTTGTATAGATATATAGATGTATAGCATTTATATTAACCAGATTTACATGTGTTGTATATTTACATTGAAATTTGAATTGCGCAATTAGTCTAATAAAGCGGGATAGAGCTCATTTATTTTATATTGTATAATATTACGTGATCGGCCTGTTATCCATCAGATTTTAAATACTGGACAGTATTGTGTGATATCACAGCAAGCATTAAAGGGCTAGCATAGATTAAAATATATATATATTTTTGTAGATTATGAATTAGATAAAAATGTAGATAAATTTTAAATTAAAATGAAAAAAAACAAGCATAAAGTGGTTATGGCTTTCAGACTGATCTTTTAAAAAAACAAACAAAAAAAACCCCACTGTTTAATGTAACAGTCGCTCTCCCTTTACTGATCTGATAAGAGAGGGGCTGGACAGACGTAGAGTGCAATAACCTTTCCCTAAGTCCTCTCCCAGCATATCACAAAAAATAGAGGAGCTGAATTAAGAACAGTAGCCGCTTTGGCCAGAAAGTGTAACTATAACTTGTCATGGGCAAACAAGGATGTCCTGGCACTGCCTTAATTAAAGGACCTCTCTAGGCACCCAGACCACTTCAGCTTAATGAAGTGGTCTGGGTGCCAGGTCCATCTCGGATTAACCCTTTTTTTTTTTTTTTTTATAAACATAGTTTCAGAGAATCCAGCCTCTAAAGCCTCTAGTGGCTGTCTCATTGACAGCCGCTAGAGGCGTTTGCGTGCTTCTCACTGTGACAATCACAGTGAGAAGACGCAAGCGTCCATAGGAAAGCATTATGAATGCTTTCCTATGAGGCTGAATGTGCCCGCGCATGCGCATTCAGCCGAAGAGGAGGATCGGAGGTGGAGAGGAGGAGGAGGAGAGCTCCCCGCCCGGCGCAGGAAAAAAAAGGTAAGATTTAACCCTTGCCTCTCCCCAAAGCCCGGCGGGAGGGGGACCCTAAGGGTGGGGGCACTCTCAGGGCACTATAGTCCTTTATGGTCCTTTAAAGAAACCCGAAGTCTAGCCTTAACCCTAATCATGTGATAAAAAAAATATATTAGAGTAATATAATACTATTTCAGGGTTCTGGAGACCTTCCTATAGGAGTCCACATTTTGATTTTTGATGTATTATGATACCTTTACATTTTTTTCCATAATTCATGATTCACTGGTATGGTTTATCTATACTGATATTTTTAGGAATCTAGAATAGAGCCATTTCTACCTAAAATAGGACATTAAATAGTTAAAGGACATCTCCTTATGAGGACAAAATTGTACAAGTTTCAATAGCAGGATTTTAATGTTGTTGTGTTCAGAGCTTTACACTAAATAAATATATGTAAATATACATTGTAACTCCATAAGTTTCCAGTAGCCTCATCTGATTGAGTTAATAAACCAGCAAATAGCCTCAAAACACATCAATCTGACATGTACTTATGACTTACCAGTTCCCGGTGCTGGCTGAGGTGTCCTGGTCCGTTAATCCCGTGTGCTCACAGGCGAATGCTCCTATCAAGATTGAAGGCTTAGTAGCTGGGAGAGGCAGCCGATCTCCCGACTCTGGGCCCCTATTTCACAGTGAGTTGCCCCACGCATCCCCCCCCCCCCTTTGGACCAGTGGGGGGGATATCCTGGTTCCCACAGAGTGCTTACCTTAATACTGCTGAGAAGTGGGTTGTCAGTGGTATCCAGCTATAAAAAAACCTCCAAGGCTGTCTCCTCATGCATTGAGAGAGCCTTTAACCCCTTAAGGACCAACCTTCTGGAATAAAAGGGAATCATGACATGTCACACATGTCATGTGTTCTTAAGGGGTTAAACTCCTGTGGTCTAAATTACATGCTGCAATCAAGAGGGAATCTGCGAGAGACGTACCTCAACAGTCCGCTACAAGTCAGGCTTCCAAAATACAACCTGCACCGATCCGCAAAGCCCCAGTGCAACCAGCTAAATGGGAGAGGAAGGAGGAAGCAGACCGCACCTCGATTTCAGACTCCACTCAAAGATCTGCCAACACCCCCTCGACCTCAGTCCGCACGGGGACCTATCCCCAGACACCGCTCACAAGCCTGGGTACCCTATGCACAGCGTTGACGCCAGCTACTTGCAGGAGGGTCCCGGTATTCCGTCCAGACCGCTGGAAGCGAACAGACCAGTGAGGAACAAGTGCTGGACTCTATCAGAGTCTGGGGCTGGAGGGGTAGCTTTGAGGAGACCCAGTATTTAATTCTACCTTTTGGGCAGGCTACATGAATCAGTGGGCATAGGATGAACAACCGCTCCTCAATATAGGGCCCTACTCTCCTTAGGCCTCTTGGCCCACATTGGGCAGTGTTTATATCCCTGCACCCCTTTTCAACCACTTTCAGTTTTGAGCGCTATGTTTTTTGTTCTTGGTGTGTTGTATGTTTTTGTTTTTTTTTTGTTTGTTTTTTAAACTCTTGCTCCACTCTGTGACATTATTCTGGCTAGTATCACCTTGGTGCTTCTTATAGGCACTGTGCCCTCAATAAACCTTACTGCATGCTTCCAGTGCATGTGGCCCACACATTACCCTGTCTATGATCACTACTAGCACTGTGTAATAGCCGGATATTTTTATGATAAAATGAGGCTCCCTCATTTACTTTGTGACATACCACTAGCCACTCCATAGCATCCTACTGTATTTCATGCTTTAGGTCCAAACCTGTTTGTATCGTTTATATGTGACTATTCTATTATACATATAAACTGTATTATGCTTGTTCGCAAGTGGTGTTGTTGCCTCTATCTTACATTTTATTATTTTATATAATGCCTCAATAAAATATTGATTGACAAAAAAAAGTTTCCAGTAGAGTTTAATCATCTTTATCAAAAAAGATATGGTTCGAGATTTTTTTTAGAGAACACCTTCTTCAGTAGCAAATAAGCAGCACTTATTCTGTTATATTCAGTCCATTTTCTTTAGGTTATTGGCTCCCCTTTGTTGAGAGTAGGTAGGGGGGTGCAAAACGTACCTTTGAATCCAACACTGACAGGGTTATTTAGTAAAGTAAGAATTCAAAGTGAATTTTAAATATAAAGGCACAATATAGTCGCCAGAACAATTACAGCTTAATATACTTGTTCTGATGTCTCTAGCCTGTCCCTGCAGTCTTTTTCATGTAAAAACTGCCTTTGATTGTCTGAGATTGTCAGATATGATCTCTGCCACAAAGGTAGGGCAAAGCGAGACTAGCCACAAGCCAGGCTTGGTAAAATCCCTTTTTTTAAAGTAAGGAGGGGGGGAATACATGTTTGTATTCCTGACCCTAATGTTCCAGCCAAACATAGCTGACATAGAGATGGTTTCGGTTATTATGACCTTAAATTTCAAATTGACTTTGAATTCTAAATTTAGGCAAGAATAGATGTTTTTCAAAGAAAGAAGAAGGGAAAAAAAAGCAAACCGAATGGTCTATAGGCCTTTCTTAACCGAAATGTAGCAACTTTGCTTTCAACTCACTAGAATGGTTAGTTGAATACACCCATTAATCTTCAAGAAATTTAGCCTCTTCATTTCCTAGCTAACTGGTTATAACAATGAGCAAATTAACTTATAACAATTGTGAAAATAATGCATTAATACCTCATTAAAATGATGGAATTTGATTCGGATCTGTTGAGCATGCCACCAATTCCAATAATTATCTCAAAAGTAATTATTTTAAAAGACTACTTGGTCAGGGGTATTTAATTATGTTGCATGAAAACATTTCACCAAAAGTTACTGTATTTCTGTTTATTACTGATAAAATATGACATCAGGAGGGGTATATTTTTTGCTTTATTAGAACTGTTTAATTTCCTCCTACTTAAAGGGACACTTTTTTATTGAAGTTATCGTTCCTTCAGTCCTGCCCCCCTCCAAATATGTATTCCTGAAGTTAGTGTTCCTGTAAACAAACTGACTTCTAAATGTGAAATCTAACATACTAATGCAGTTAAACATTCCCTTTTAATTTTCTCTTGTATAGATCCAAAGCCTACCAAGCAATCAGATCCAAAACCTCAGCCAGAAAATCCTGGTAAGGGCAGTGGGAAAACAATTATTTTCTCAAATTTTTGAAAAAACAGTGCTCAGACTTGCATGCATGGACAAATTTATTTTTCAACTAGTATACTTAAGAACTATAAAGAAATGGAATATGTCTTGAAACCATAGTTAGAACAATTTAATTCTTTACAGTGATACTTTGAAAACCTATTTTTTTATTTTTTTTTTATGCAAGGATGGGAATATAGATCAGTATTGCTGTTCTGCATTGTGCTTGTCTTTATTTGGATGATTGATAATCAGTGAGGGAAAATAATATAGGAATATATGAGAAGATCTTCAGATCGGTTGGAGCCATGTCCATAAATGCTGATGATGTCTTCATAACCCTCTGGTTGGTTGTTTGATAGTAACCAATCAGTGTTGTTAGAAGTCAAATTACACAGCATTGGAAAATTCCAAAGAACTTTCACGCTGTATAAAATGACACAAAGCGAAAATTCCAAAGAACTTTCACGCTGTGTAAAATGAGATTTACCTGTCAGAGCACTCTGGTTGGCTTAAACCAACCAATCCTATCGCTCTGAGCCTAATTGCTGGGTGTGGGAAGGCTTTCTAAGTCTGCGCTATGCCCTCCATGGGTGAAGATGGATAATTTTTGTTAGCGTCATTTTTTTTTGTTTGTTTTTTGTCGTATTATTTTTATATTATTTTGCTCTGGTTTATTTTATTTTCAAAGTCTGACGGGTACTATAGACTTTTATTTGGCCTTTTTTGGGGCTGAAAGAAGATTTTAGGAAAAAGACATCAAATGATGATAAACTTTTTTTTTAATGGTAATTTAGGGCCCCCACCTGCTGCTCAGGGGCGGGGGCTGTGGAGGAGGAGGCCAATAGGACCCCCTCCCGTCGCTCAGGGTGGCGGCCGGGGGGGACAATAGGTCCCCCCCATTTTTACTTAAGGCCCCCACACCCGCTATGCAACGATAGGTTCCCCTCCCGCCCCCTTATTGTTATTTAGGGCCCACACCCCTGAGTTTTGAGGTCCAGCTCCACATCACAAGACTTCTGGATATTTTTTTTTTAGGATTTCCTACCACCCTTTTCCAAACGTAAGCCATGATTCATCACATCTGAGTCATAGAAGCAACTGGACAGAATATATTGTTCTACATAGCTTTGTCAATATTTATAACCCAAATGAAGATTATTATGCATTTAACCCCTTAAGGACACAGCTTCAAAAGCTTGTCTTACCCTTAAGGACAAAAGACACTTTTGCAATTTTTGCTGTTTGTGTTCAAACGCAATTTGCATCTGTCATTTATTGCAACAACACATATTATATACCGTTTTTCAGAGGGCAAACAGGGCTTTAATTTTTTGTCACATATACCTAGATAAATTCTCATTATTTATAAAAAAAAAAAAGCAACAAAATGGGGGAAAAAAACACACAAATATATATTTTTTTCAGTTTTGGCAATAATACCGTTTGCATAATATGTCCAGCTCAGAAAAAGTAATTCAAAATAAATTAATTTAGGTGTCTTGATTTATAGAATTTCCCATAACTCCTAACCACCCCAGCTAGCAAAATATATAATTATAAAATATTTAAATTAATTTAAAAAATGTAACCCCTGAGAGTTAAAAAAAAAAAATTCAAAAAAAATCACATGACAGTAAAATGTAATCTCTGCCTGATCACTGTAGTCAGTGATCAATTAGCAGGGAAGGGGTTAATTTTATTAAAGCAGGAGAAAGGGGGGGTGGGATTTAACTTTTACTTTATTTTTGTTTTGTTGTGATCCGTCTCCCTGAACTTCACACTGGATGCGAAAACTTCACACTGGATGCGAAAGAGCAGGGAGGCGGATCGTGAGTCTCTGCAGCGCATGTGCTTGCTCTGACAGCTTGTCCAAGCGATCACCGCGATCCGATGCTCCCGGTCTGCCTCGAATACAAAGGCAGACCTGTTGAGCGTTAAACCCGTGATCGCAGCTGTAACGGATCACCTGGCACCCTGACTGGTCCTAGCGCTTCTTGAGGATTCCAAGCACTCTAACCGACACCACAAGCCGAACCTCTCTTCCTTCAGAGCGAAGCAGGAACAAGCTCTTAAAAGAGCTTAGGAGTGATTATAGCAAGGGAATATGCAGAGCATAGCAATCCCTTGCAGCAGATTTCCCCATTAAGAGACAGGATTCCAAATTGAAGGTGAAGTAGAACTGTCTAAAACTTTATTTTACTTGGGATTAGCCCATATGGTAATTACATTAACATTGCTGTGAAAACACAATAAAATTACAAACAGTCAAATCATAGCAGACAACATACAGTGACTACTTATAACAAATTTTAAAGGGGTGGGGGGGACAATAATTAACAGAAAATATCTCACGTGCCTGCAGAATTAGCAATATGAAAATCTACCCAAATATGCAAATGAACCAGTCTTGCTATTCAGGTAGTGCATATTGCTGTTGCTACCAACAGAGGGCACTAGACAAGCTCCATAGCCAAATCCACCTAGTTGGTAGCAAACATGAGCAGGCAATACATCCCAGGGGCCATAGTCACATGGCAGGAGGCTGGCAATCAGTCTTCTCCAATGCTCAGTGGCAAGGCTGGTTCCGCCACAGTGGCAATTTGGGGTTAACTTTAGTTAACGAAAGGACAAGGTTGACAGACAATTTCTATCTTCAGTCGGGAAGGGGTTAATGCTTTACTTTTCAATGTCTTCAAATTTTCCCTGTTTATTTGTATCTTTGAAATTACAAAATCTATATTTTTAAAATGTTTTGTATTATATCTATAACCAATACAATCTCTATTAACTGCAAGGTATTTTTTGTTATAACTATTATTCATTAAATGCTTAGCTGTTGGTTTGTTTATGCTAAACTTGCGGCTTGATTTTATTGATCTACAGGTTTTCATCTTGAAGACGCTTTTGATTTAGGTAAGCAGTACATTGGTGGGAACAATTTATATTGTTGTTGTAGGTTAGTGGTTCCCAAACTTTTTTCCACTGGTGTACCACACTGTCACAAATACAGATCCAAACACACATCAAGGCACACATACAGGTCATATTTTTAGCCGCCCTTCTGTTTCCTACCTTTTGGGTGCAGGTGGGTGGCTTATGCTAACTTGGACTTTTGGGAGTTATGGTCTTGCTCTCCTGGTCTAGTCTCCCGTCTGCGCAGTTTGATCTGTGTTAGCTGGGAGGATGTAACCGGTGGTATGTGATAAACTTGTCACACATACATGAATAAAATATTTCCCCACCCCCCATCTTTCTTCACTTTAATATATTTGCCAATATACAACCTCTCCCAAAGTGATCCATACCCAAGTCCTTATTCCATCACCATTTAGTGTTTTCTCTATGACATATCATTTGAGAACTTGGAATGCATTTGTTTTGAATTTCTTTTTTTTTTTTTGGTCTATGAACAAACAGATTATGGTTTTAATCTTGACTAGAATGCAGTCTGTACAGACCTTTTACTTTATTGATTTTAGTTTGTTATATCCCGAGGGTGGTTTCCACTGACAGATGTTTTTTTAGGGACGGGACAGTGCTGTACTATGTTTAATAAATGAAAATACATTATATTCATCTAAGTTGGCTTGTACTTCCAGTTTGGCTATTTTGTTCTAAAATTTAAGATTTTTACTTTAAATTCCGAAACAATTCTCACTTTAGTGAATAACCCTGTTTGTTTGTATCAGTCTTTGGATGCAAAGAAAGATGTATTATAAATGAGGCCACTAGAGGGGGTCTCTTGAATTTAGAAACTGTCGCTGAAAAACTTCTTGTTCTGAGTTTCTCATAGATATTCTTTGTGAATTAAAGGAAATCCAAACCTTATATCGTAGTTGTGTACAGGATTTTACAATGCTTTGGCTATCCTAAATCTACGCAACCTGCTGCAGTCCATAAACAACTTGGTTCTGTATTGAACTTTCAATACTGTGGCTGTCCTAAACCACATCAGCCTACTATAACACACTTTGTCAACTGTAAAATCAGTCCCTTGAGTTACAGGAGCTTGCCGATAAAATGCTAGAGGGATATATGATACCCTACTCCTTCTCTTCTAAAACTCACTAAAACTGCGTGCCTCAGCAGAGTGTTTAATCCAGCCAGACATACCAGCCAAGAAATGACATTCAAATATTATCACACACTGCCTTACACATTGCCTTATATAATGATTACCTGTGGGATACTTGACACGTCTTCGACCTGTCGAGCCATAGCTCGAAGCCTGGCCCAGCCTGATGGAAATCCTGGAAGAAAGGCAGCGGCTGCTGAAAAACACCACACTAAAAAACATCACACTGACTCCAGAATATTTTATCGTTGGAGGATTTAGCTTTATTCAGCATTGAGAAGGTAACATGCTCATGCTGCCTACTAACAAAAGAAACCCTCAAAAGGAATCGTTGAGCATCCAAGCCCAGCTCCTTATTACTAAGATCCCCAAACTTGGACTCCAAATGCAACAGTGCTGCCGTGCTGCGAGAGGGCCACGTTTGCATACTTGAACAAATGGACACTCTGGTGAGTGAATTCATTGAGGGTCAAGAGGAAACCCGAAGAACAGGCCTCCTCCGCCAGGAATAGAATTTGAGCAATGGGACCTGCCACATTCGGCATCTTGTCCTGTGCTGCCGTGAATCTTGCCTAGATCCCCTTGTGAAGATCTTGGACATAAAAGTATAAATCAGGTGGTCAAAGTCTGGACCATTTTGTCAGGAGGTGCCTGATAATTTGAGGCCCGTGGTATAAACTAATGTTGAAGATCTTCTGTGGAACTATATATGTCAAATTCCCAATTATTTTAAATTCATTTATTATACTTCCTTTTTAATTTTCTTTTCTTTTGTATATAGGTCCAGAGCCTACCAAGAAACCAGCTCCAAAACCTAAGCCAGAAAATCCTGGTACAGGTGGTGGTAAGACTATTATTTTCTCAAATGTCTGAAAATTTATATTTTTTTGGTTTTGTTTAGCAGTTATTTCTCCACAAAACAGTGCTCAGACTTGCATAGACAAATGTATTTATCAATTAGTAATACTTAAAGGAACACTCTAGGGTCCGGAGCACAAACTTCTATATGACCCTATAGTGTTAAAAACACTATCTAGCCCCCGCTTACTCTATTAAATATGGTAGAACCTTACTTTAATTCCAGTCTGCTGGTGCTGGCTCTGCTCCTGACCTGCCTCTTTGGCTGACATCATCAGAAGTGATCATATCAGCCAATCAACACAGGAAAGCATTGGATTGGCTGAGAACTTCTGATTATCTCAACCAAGGAGGTGGGTCAGGGGCGGAGCCAAGCACCACAATGATCAATGCATCTCTATGAGGAAAGTTCAGTGTCTCCGTGCAGAGGATAGAGACTCTGAATGTCAGTGCTGCACAGTGTGCACCACTGCCCCAGAAAGCACCTCTAGTAGCCATCTGAGGAGTGCCCACTGGAGGTGTCCCTAGGCTGCAATGTAAACACTGCCTTTGTTCTGAAAAGACCGTGTTTACTGCATAAAGTCGTCAGGAACTGACTATACTCACCAGAACAACTACATTAATCTGTGGATGTTCTGGTGACTATAGTTTCCCATTATTGTATATAGCAATGTTATCTTGATTCATTTGTGGAATCTTCCTTTAAACCATAGTTAGAAAAGATTTAAAAAAATCTAATTCTCTACAGTGCTACTTTGAAAACCTGGAAACAAACTTGCATGTGGAAGAGCAACTAAATCTACATACAACACAAAATGAATGAGCACTTACTAAAGTGGGGTGCTGAATAGATCTGACATCACCATACCAGTAACTAATTTCAAACAAAGCATGGTCCAGTACTCTCCAAAAATAATGTAGTAAGGAAGGAACAAACGAACACTTCAGCTCACCTAAGAGCCCTTTCAAGCTTGAAAAGAGCTCTTACGTGAGCCGAAATATGTTTTTGCTTTCTGCAGTGCACTAACTAAAGAAATAAAAAAAAAAAATTACATTATTTTTGGAGAGTGCTGAACCTCTGTTTAATTTTAAGAGAAATTTTATAATTACTAAAATGTACTCCTTCGCATGAGAATTTGTTTCCTAACTAAAAGGTTAAGAAACTTTAAAAATTAAAAATTCAAATGTTCACTTTCTGCAAGAGTAATCCATTAACTCACACTGATAAAGTACATGTTTTATATTCCAAAACACTGGAATCTAAAACATCCTGTGCTATAGGCTGGTTTTCCTCTCTGCTTAAACACTGCCGCACTTTATTCTCAAATTACTGCAGCTAAATGCCACAACAAAATATAATTAACATAGTTTGTATGACCTCTACATAAAGTTAGATTTAAAAATGCAAGTTGTATACATTGGTTTTTTTCTGAGTAGTAGGACTTTTTGTATGTTGACCCAAAAATAACCCACAAGATTTGTCTGCTGGCACAGTCAGAGACCAACCGTACTTGTCACAGTCAATTTTATTTTTTTGATTTTCAGGAAGCTTTTCTGATGCTGATCTTCTAGGTGACAATGAATTGCCAAATGACCCTCAACCAGGTGAAGATGGTAATCCCAGTGGTAAGACCTGTACATTTTCTGTTTAATTGGACAGGCATGAGACCATGGTCTGTTTTGCATTTGTTGTATTATATTGGTACAGTGAGCTATAGTTCAAATTTCATATTACTGATTGCATTTTGTGGTTCAGGTGCACCTTGGATCTGCAGATACTGATTAACAGTTTCCCATGAAGCTTTACCAGCCTCATGTTATGTAGTTCATGAATATCTGCAGTACCAGGTGTAAGCCATGGCTACTTTTTAATGAGCGATTCTGATTTATGCCACGCTTGCCACTGCTAATTAAGCATGTTTTTCACAGCTTTGTTTTTAATATTTAAAACCATACAGAAATATTTTTGAGTTTAATGAAAACCACTAAATAGAAATGCTTCTGCTCAGAACAATGCTTGCTTTAAATCTCTAATGCTTATCACTTGCCCGGTTTAGAAAGTAAGTATTCATTGCAGTATTTACTTAACGCATTATGAAGTCATCCCTGTTTAACAACCTGTATAGTAGCATAGACTGCCCATCGGGTTCCCTGACATGTTCAATCATTGACATCCATTACTTTTATTAGTAGATCTCACTGCTAAAATATGTTTTTCTTTCTATTGAATTTGCTTGATGATAGGCCGTGCATCCCAAGCATCTGCTGGTATGTTTTTCTTAAAACATTGTGTACTGTTCCTGATCTTCTTTCTGTTTGTGTTTCCTCTTTCCTGATTTTACACAAATTTCCATTCTAAATGCCCTCTTTCTATTAGAATGTAGATTGTACCCCAGTCTGTTGCATACTACACACACAGCTGCCTACTTCTTAGGAAGCTGGCAACATACCTTTGGCCACACAGCTGTTCTTTAGCAAATACGGACTAGCGCAGCTCCTGCATTATCCTTTATGACTAAAACGGCTTCTGTGCCAGTAGACTGTGTTGATGAGACCCCCGATCGCTGGTAATGCTTTGCAAATTGAGGGCTTTGCTATTAAATGAAGAGCGCAGGGAGAATGGAAATGGAAGGAAGAATTTTATGCTGGGGATGGATAGTAATAATATGGGAAGGGGAATAGTGACGTGGAGAGAGTGACCACTAACCCCACTTCATTCAATTGTTACTTGTTGAGTATCTTATGACTTGTCTAGGGAAAGGGTAAGTGACATCGGTAGGAAAGGGGTGAAAATATACTCTGGTGTTCACTTACGTTGGCCGTCCACATAAAAGCAGTCTTACATTCTGATATTGCTCACCTAAACCAATGCAAATGTTCATAGATGGTGGCAAACACAACCTACTTTGAAGCTGGTGCTCCACACGAAAACAAAAATAAGGCTAATGCTGGGAGCTCCTGCTTCAACATATTCCACAATATATGGAATAATCCTGCATTGTGCAGCTTGAATCGGCTGGCATGGCATAAGGTCTCCACTTTAAATAGCAGCAGCAAAATAATCTTAGTGCTGATTTCTTGGCATTTCCTTTTGTGGGGTCCTACATGATTTTTCTTCTGCCTCCATCCAAAGTGATCTTTGTGCTACACATACTGCCACTCTGCACCAAAAATACTCCTGTATTCACACACACACTCACACTGGTCACACATCATACTCACACAGTAATATACAAAAAATAGTGCAATAAAAATAGGCGCTAGACAACATGCAGATATAAACGCTGTGGAACCAATCACTCACTATTTCACCAAAAGTAAGATCATGCAATAGGAAATGGTGTTCAGCGCAAAATATATAAAACCAATAGTCTTAATCCCAGGGTTCACTCCACCCAATGTGTATAAGAGTGAGTATAAATATACTTAAGGATGAAAGAAATAAAACAGCTTTTTTTCTGAAAAGATACATTGACAGTAGTATAGTAATGTCCCACGTTTTGCAGTAAATGTACTCTTTAGGTCATCAACTCACATTTTAATGAGCCTGTCAACAAACTGGTTCAGGTAATACAGCATTGTAAAACAGTGTAGATCCCATTCAGGAATACCAGATCTTCTTAATAGAAATAGATGGAGAGCAAAAAATATGGTTAAAAATATATATAAAATGTCTTCCCCCAAAATGCAAACTAGCAATTAACGGCTAGATGGGCAGCTTACCAGATCTAAATGCGCCAGTATTTCATACTAGCAAAGCTAATCTAGTAATATTAAATGTTGACTACCCAGTTTTAATTCTACTCAGAAGGGATGGCTGTTGGGTCCAGCTTGTCTAACTAACCAGTGCCCCTCTCTAAAGGTATAACTGAACTAAAGTCATAGAACATTAACCTATGCTTGCAATCGTTGCTGAGGCAAACCTAATAATATGCTCTCTATGTTGTAACTAAAGTTGAAAAATGCTGTCCCTTACTAGTGTGGCACTGAAAGCCTGCTGTTTTTTTTCCTATACACGATTAGCAATGTTGACTGCTGTATGACACTCCCTAGATGTATACACATAGTCTAACCTTTACATGTATTCTTTAATCTAGTTACTGCTATACTGTAAACCGTGCTTATACATTAGGTCTATGATAGCATTGCAACAGCAGAATTGAAAACTAAACGTTAGTCAATCTCATTGTATTCTAGTTCACCTCACTTTACTTTACCAATCTGTCTAGTTAAGCATGTTTAAAAAAAAACAAACAAAAAAAAATTGTGCAAATTCTCATGCCATTGTTAAACTGTCTTGACTCTTGAAATACGCTGTTGTGGCGACCATTGATAGTTATTGTAATCACCTGCACAGCAAAAAATAAAGAATTAAAAAAAATATATATATTAGAACAACTACAATACTCATATATTTATTGCATTAGTCTATATCCTAAATAAAATTATAAATTTCAAAATCTATATTAAGACCATAGGGAGAGAGGGTTTCTAAATCGAAGATCCACTTCATCTCTGTTCTATTTAACCCCCTTAAATTTGTGTTTTATTTAACCCCACCAAACTTCTGGAATAAAAGGGAATCATGACATGTCACACATGTCATGTGTCCTTAAGGGGTTAAATCTTCAAAAAGTCTCCCCCTCTCCATGGCTTGGTTATTTTTTGTATACCAATAAAATTTAGCATTTTAAAATCACAATCGTGGCTTTTACTAAAATGAGCAGATACAAAATGGGTTGTAACTTTATTTTGAATATTGCGCAAGTGTTCACTTAGGCCACATTTGCACATCAAGATATGACATTACTAGTATTACAAGTAATAAAATCCTTAATAAAATACTCCCTCTTTGTAACACTAGATTAAAATTTTTCCTTTATTTTAGAAATAATATTCGTACTTTTACAAGCTTTACACTGTCCAGCACGAAGGATATTCATATTATAGGTTAAGATTTCCCCATATAAGGAAATTTGAACTGTTTGGATTGTGTGTAACTGGGATGTAACAACGGTGCAACGCACAAATATGGCCGCTGGAACGCATTTCGAAGGTGGAACGCATGAACATGGCCGCTGGTACGCATAGCGGCGGAATCGGAAGTGACAATACATACCATTGCGATATTGATCGTAAAGGGATAATGAGACTGGGAAGGTTCCTATAGGGTAATTATAGTATAATTAGAAAAATAAGCGCCAAAATGGATTTAAAAGTTGAGACCTCATTAAAATGTGAGTTGATGACCTAAAGACTAAATTTACTGCAAAAGTGGGACATTACTGTACTACTCTATGTGCGTGTATTGTCTATTTATCTTTTCGGGAAGCAGCTGTTATTTCATTCATCCTTAGGTATCTTTATACTCCCTCTTATACACATTGGGTGGAGTGAACCCTGGGATTAAGACTATTGGTTTTATACTCCTCCAGTAGTAGCTATCCTTAAGTGTGTGAATGCACAGTGGCTCTCAATAGAAGACCATTATAGTGTTTAACTGCACTGAGCTGCCACACAAAAAAAAACTGTGTTCCCCGATACAGAAATGCTGTAAAATATTTTGAACATTCCACGTACATTTTTGCGAAAGATTTCACAAAAATTGTGGCAGAAGAAAAAAGGTCCCGTTTACCAAGGATTTTATTTTTGGGAGCTTTAAAATAGATATAATGATTTCACATAATATCGATCATAATGGAAAGCGTGACACTGCTGTAGTTTTGTATTTACAAAAATAACTTGTGTCCCTAAAAGACCACATATCTATGCTTACAATGGCGTTCTAGTACAATTTTTGTAAATTTTGAATATGTATTCCAGGCTTGTGTATGGAATGAAAAGAGGCGTTTTCTATGACCCCTGAATTACATTGTGATGGACTATAGTCATATAGTGGGTTGGTAACAGAATTTAAAACGGTTGGCTTAGAATCAGAAAAGTCTAACAAAAGCAACAGGTGATGCAGGAAGGCTAATGGGGGAGGATTATGTAGGGCATCTTGTAAAAGGACCAGAGTGAAAGGGAAGCATATCATTAGTATTGGGTAAATGATGAAAAAGAGAGCTTCATGAGGTTGGAGACTAAAATCATTACACTAGAATAGAGCATTTTTATTATTGTATACCCCCTTTTCCTCTATTCAGTGGTGTTACCTTGATTTCTTTTATTTAGTTTACTTTATTCTGTTTTCAGCCTCTTGGGGTTCTGGGATATTTCAAGATTTACTCCATTAACTGCTTGTTTGTCTTCTAACCACACTGTGCAGCTGTAGTGCGTGTATGCATTCATGCTGCTTTTGCATTCAGCTTCATTTAGTGCATGCTAGTTTGATGTTTAATCCTCTTTCTTAGATGTAGTCTATTTGATAGAGGTCAGATAGGACATTGACTACTTTGTTTTATTGCTTCTACAGGTGGAGAACAGCAGAATGATGGAGGGGGTGAGATTTTTTTTTTTTTTTTGTATTGTTACATTATTGCAGCTAGTTTGATAGAAAAAAAATTCATAATTTTTTTTTTTTTTTTTTAATCTTTGACTGCGATTGTCAGTATTTAACTTTTTCCAAATTTCAATGTGTATCTTGCCATCTTTGTTGTAATCACTTTCAGTAGTATGGTTTTACACTGCAAATGTCGTTTCACTTTTATTTATTTTTGCTTTGGTCCACATAGCTAAACCAAATGTAATAGCCGGCATACTGAGTGCAGTCGGCGTGGCTGCTTTTGGCGCCGTGTCAAGTTTCATTGCTTACCAGAAGAAAAAGCTTTGCTTTAAAGGAGCAAGTGGTAAGTGGATTAATCTGATTTAAAATATTCATTCTTTTTTTGACTCTTTAACAGAGAAATAGTTTTAAAGCACTGAAGGGAGATCCATAAATGTAGTCAGGATACCATAAGCCAATAGGCTAGCAATAGAGAAGGATGCTTCACTAGCGTAGTTAAGTTACCAGAGGCAAGGTCAGAAGTACTGCACACTTCACTTGGGCCACACATGGACAGAGGCTGTAAAGGAATGTTGACACACATGTAAAACAGACAAACTAGACTCTGTAATAGAGCCATGGGCGTCTGCAGAGCTGGGTTTACATAAGACGTGAATTCAAGGAACCTGAAACAATGAACTTACTAACAAAAGAACAACGATATCATTAATCAATATGGAATATCATGCAGCGTTAACCATTGTTTAGGAGACATTCTGACAGATATAGAATGGAAAAAAGATGCAAGCCTGTTGGCTATTCATTCTTGTCATGCTTTCAGATGCATTTTGAAGGGGTGGAGGGTTGTTTTGGGTTTATATCCATATATGCTAATATTGTTTTTAGTAATATATTTATAGTAGCACAAGATTGGGATAACTAACTATAATTAGTAATTTTCTCTTCATATATTTTTTTTTTTTTTCTTAACAGTAATACAATTGGGAAACTCCTTCTTTAGCAGATAGGACAGATTTAGTAAAGCTATAATTATCCTCCCACGAGTTAATTAGTCTTGTATCCTACCTCTCAAGCTAAGAGTACTAATATAATACTGTTGTAAAATAAAATGTATAGACAGATTTACTCATTGCTTGGTGTTCATGGCATCCTCGAGTGATACTCTTGAGTAATATCTTACGAGACAGAAATGGTAATAAAAAAAAAAAAAAAAAAGGAACAGCATTTGTGTGACTCTTTGGAAATGCTTTAAATACCTCTATTAAAGGTGGCATTGGAAGAGGCTCTGTAATGCAAATTGAAGTAGTGAGTGAAAATATATGCTATAAGGACAGTTTGACTGTTCTTCAAATGCATCTTGTAAGCTGTGCCTTATGTGACAAAAATAATGCAAGATTGTAGATGTGTAAGAAATTGATCTCTTGAGGTTGGTAAACTGTACAATAGCAGGAAAGTGTAGCCATTTTCCACTGTAATATGGCTGAAGTGCAAACAGGCAAATATCTCACACTAATGACAATATGCTTATTCTCTATATGCACAAAAAGATTGGATTACATTACATATATCATCGTTCCCCCTTTCCCGCTGGACATGTAAAACCCCAGTTTCACTAGTGTTCTGATGCTTCTAATGGATAAATGCTAAATCAGTTTTGCATGGTGAATAGAAAACCCCTTTAGCTTCTCTTGAAATACTGCAAGCCCTCTTAAAATTACAGTTGCTGACATGACAAAAATATAAAACTATTAAACTGTGTGTTTGACAGGGGAGACCTACTAATTTGTAGTAGTGCTGTAGATAGCCAGACCAATATACTTTAATTGTGCTTTCTTGTACCCTGTATTGTTGTAGTTGCAATCTAATAGAAATAGAGGCGGCATCATTGCAATTTAACGATTGTTTGTTGTGCTATAGTTTTTTTTTTTTTTTTTTATGCTGTCTCTTTTTGAGCAGGTGGGAATTAGTATACGGACTAAGGTAATGGTCAAATAAGAATATCTTTGCAAATACAAGTTTACTCTTGGAAGATTTGCAAAGTTCAACACACAGGCCAAATTGAAGAAATCTAAAGCACTTGGTTCGACTTACTTAATTCTTCACATAATTTATACAGAAAATTATTTTAGCCATGTTCGATTTTGTGTATACAGTATGAGTTTTAGAAAAAAAAGTGATTTACATTTTGAGTGATGAATATGGTTTACATATTTTATATGATAAAAATAAATACCTAAGTCTTGTATTTTGTCCTTCCGTAAAACTTTGAGTAATTACGTCACTAAGTTGCTATTAATTCTGTCCTGCTCTCCTTACTGATGAGCTAGGTGAAGTAATATTGATAAATAAAAAACATAGCAGCTTAACCAGAATATCCGCGACGAGACAAGGATCAAATAAGTGTTGGAATTCAAGAGTCACAGCAGCCAAACATTTGCCTCTCATTAAAATCAAACAGTCTGGATCATGCTGAACTCCCAATATAGGTTACGATTGGCAACATATGCAATCTCCCCTTCCTGGAAGATCTGTTAAGTCTGTTAAATGCATAATTTGTATTCAGTGATTTCAAACCCTTTAATAGATCCCTAAATTTTATTTTATTCTAGAAGACCTAGAAAATGTAAACATGGATAATAAAGGAGACCAAGTAGATCCACAAGGTGAGTAATGAAAACTTACAGGTGATCAGTTAGTTAATTTGTATGAGCACGAACAGAGCTGGAGACAAATGGGCTGAATACAAGAAACCGACTATTCCTAAAACTGTAACTAATATCGTTAAAATGACTGAAACTGAAACATAAATGCTGATACTAGAACAGAGGATTCTTTTTAGCTTCACACTTTGTAGATTGTAATTGTAACAAAATGTATTGGCCTTTTCCACTTTATTTTTGCTTGATCTGTGTTTCAACCACTTGCACTGTGGTTGTTATGGAAACTCCCTAGCTGGTTGTTCTAGTACTGGCTAAGTCAGGGCTAGCATCCTTCAATACTCCAGATGTTTAGGGCTACACCTCCCATGATGACATCCCAGCATTATGGCAGTAAGAGCCTTATGGGATATATAGTCCACAACATCTGGTGTGTCGCAAGTTGCCTACCCCTGCGCTAGGAAGTATAGGAACTGAGTGACTTCAATCCATTCTGATGCTGGCGACGTCACTGACTAAATTTGCCTTGCTGGGGGATTCCTTCCAGGCAGAGCAAATCAAAGAACAGAGGAGTAGTGGCAGACGATTTGGAGGTGCATGTTACAAGAAGAGTAATAACCGCAAACAGAGGCGGCTCTAGACTTTGAGGCTTTAGGCGAAACTCAAACATGAGGCCCCACTAACAAAAAAGTGTCACATATGTGTATGTGCCTGAGAGTCTCTGACAGAGTATCCTTGTGTGTGAATGTAGGTCTCTGTGAACATGTTTTTGTCTGAGACCCTATGTATATGGGGTAACTGCTTGAAGTGTGTTGTGTGTATGGGGGGTTGATGGTAATTTGAGAGGGGGTGATGGTGAGAAGGAGGGGGGAGGCTGAGGGTGGGGGGGGTGATGGTGAGAAAGAACCTACCTTTTCCTCCCTGGTGGTCCAGTCGGCTCCCTGGTGGTCCGGAGCTGCAGACCATGTAATCTCGTGAGATCTGTCAGAGCGTTGCCGTGGTAACCCGCAGCAACACTCTGATTTGCCAGTTCTCGGGAGACACATGGTTGCCAGTTCTGACCAGTGTCTGCGGTGGCTGGCTGGGCAGCCAGGAGGGGCCTCGCACCCGGCAGCATACCGGGCAAGCCGCCGGGCCCCCTCCTGGTGTCAGGTCCTCGCCCAACACAGTCTGCCTTTAGGTGGTTTAGGCGGCCACGAGGCCTTAGGCGGCTGCCTCAACCACCTAATTAGAGAGCCGCCTCTGACCGCAAAGCATGAAGATGATGGCGCTGGAAAGGAGGAAAAATTAGTCTATTTTTATATATAACATTGAATACACCATGCATTTTTGTTATACATGGGGAATTCAATGTACCGTATATACTCAAGTATAAGACAAGTTTTTCGGCACATTTTTTGTGTTGAAAAACCCCCACTCGTCTTATACTCGAGTGAGTGTCTGTATTATGACAACTTACATTGCCATAATACAGACAAGGATCGCCGGGCTCATTACAAGCCCGGCGGTCCTGTTGGGGGCTGGCAGGAAGCGTTTACTTACCTTTCCTGCAGCTCCTGTCAGCTCCCTTCTCTCTCGTCCGGTCAGCTCCCCTACAAGTCTCACTGACCACGAGACTTACAGGGGAGCTGACCGGACCGGAGGAGAGAGAAAGGAGCTGCAGGAAAGGTAAGTAAATGCTTCCTGCCAGCCCCCTCCTACACAGTGCACACCACTGGACCACCAGGGAATGAGAGCCCCCCTCACTGGCCAGCTAACAAGCAGGGAGGGGGGACAAAGAAAAATAACATAAAAATGTAAAATAAAATAACTTTAAAAAAAATATTAAAATAATAAAAATTTTGTTTGTGGGGTGTTTATTTTATTTTTTATGCTAATTTCTGAATCTTGTTGTTTCAGCACAAAATACCCTTCTCCCTAAATAATCCTGGCGACTACAAAGAAAATCCTTGATGGTAATCTGTAATTAAACCTGAAAATTCACAAAGGAAGGCACAAGAAAAATGTTAGCAATGTTGTCAGAGTTATTTTGTGGACTTATCTGTAAATGTGTCTTCTCCACTGTGTGGTGTAGATCTGGATACTGGAAACTATGTGGGACGTGCATTGACATATGCAAGTTTATTCACTAAGTGACAAGTGAGAATAGCTGAGAATGCAAACCGATGTTCAAATTTAAGGCCAAAATATTTAAACTGGCAGCAGAATTAAGTTTTTTTTTGGTTGTTGTCTATTTTGACCTAAATTTGGGAATTTCCAGCTATTCTCGTTTTAGTAAATAGCCTGGCAAGATGTACTTTTTAAAATTTATTTTTGTTGGATTTTAGTCTTTTTTTTTTTTTTTTTTTTTTTAGAACAAGAAATGATCTGCCTTTGGGTCTGCAGCTGCTTTAAAGCTAACACGAAGTTCCACCAGGATACCTGTGGAATATCATGATACTTTTAGTCCCTTGCTGCTGGTGAATCAGAGCTAGTCATTTTGTTTAAAATGCTTGTATTTGATAAGATTTTGTTTTATTTTACTGATGAAGTACCTTAAACAAACCTAATGGTTTTGTCCATCTTGTTGCCACAATCCTCAAATCCCCCAAATGTACAAGATCACCAAAAAAATTCTAAACATTGGCATATTATTCATTTGAATTCTTTAGAAGACCCAATGTGATTTTTATGGCTTTTAAACTGTTTCCTAACCTGTTGTTACTTTTTTTAACTTTATATCTGTACACATAGCTATTTGTATGTTTTTTGAGGATTTTTTATTTCCTGAATGTTCTGAAATCCTAGATGCATTGCTCATTAAAATACTTCTTTTGTAAAGAATCGTCTGACACCATGCCTCCAGTGGTGTACTATGGAAAGTAGAGAAGGATTCACAATCAACATCACACATATAAATGTAACCGGGCATCCGATATTTTCTTCTTTTTTTTTTTTTTTTTACATGTAATATTTCTGTAGTGTGTGATTATGTACTCTCAGAAGGTGTAACTGTGCCCGTACAAATATTGGAAATTTTAATTCATGGGAATTCAAAGTGACTTTCAAATTTAAGACTAACATTTTCAACAATTACCACTTTAGTGAAAAGTCCTGAGTGAATGTCAAATACTTGGCAAACTAGAATTCCCACAAACAGTCATTCACTAAATTGTGAATTGACTGGAATTTAGTGAATTTAAAAATTTTAGGCCAACATAGCCAAAGTGAAAACCTAGCTGAATGAATTTGTAAAAAAAAAAAAATTTCAATTGGTCTGTTCTACTAGACTAAATTTTTGTAAATTAATTTTTAATTCCTAGTTCACACTTTATCGAATTAACCAGAGTAAGCTGCTAGCAATTTTATTTTGTGGGGGAGGTTAGCTGTAGTTTGTTAGCAGAGGATGCCCATTCATCCTGCTAAATCTATTAACATGTACTATTACCTCTGTTTTGTTGTCTTATATCCATTCATCTCCAAATATAAAATTTCTGGTTAGTCACATACCTTTACATGCCACGTCTTTGAAATAAAAGGTCAAACTCTAATGCTGTCCGTGGATCTGTTGGTCATTTAGATTGTTTGTTTTGTAATGCATTAGCAGATTCAAATGATTTGTTGTGTACGTTTTTAACGTAATGTTAAAGAGGCGCTATCTTCAGAAGGTGTGTACACATCATACATCAGTTTAAAAACAAAAAGTGCATAACTTTATTTTTGTACAAAGAATATGAAAAAAGATTCTTGGTGGACATTTTACATTCTAAAGGCATGGGTGGTACACCACATCATCGGCTCAAATAATCCATACAGAGATGGGGGAGGGAGAGATATAAGAGATGAAATTTGTTAATCGTATGTATCCCATGAGGCTTAGCATAGCAGCTATCCACTAATTGGGTGGGGTCTAGGATTTTGTTTCTGAACTTGAGATTGAGTATTTTATGATAACTTCTGTGTTCTTGTTGCTTGGAGCAAGTACAAATATATTAATCAATTGTTAAACAAGGAACCATGTCCTGCATGTCCTGGTCTAAATGTTTATTCTGTATACTTTTAAACCTTACACATTCATTGCCATGGGTTTTCCACACCACCTAGTAGCCAGGCCATTGGCATGTTGTAGGTTGATACCTACTACACTGATAGAACAAGGCTTTTTGCAAAGGTAAAGAGTGCATTTTAGAATTATTTTCTCAGGAGTGAAACTCTCACCAGTCGCACAAGGATGGTTAAAACATAGCAGATATAGAGATAATTATGTCAACCCTGTATTTGAAGTCTTTAGTTCATACTTGTTGCCTTTAATGATTTGCCATTGCAGGAGCTAGGGAAGAGAGAACCAGTTTTCGTATCCTCTGATCCCTTCCAAACATATCACCAGTGGGAGAAGACGGAATTAACGGTAGCAGCTACAATTATTAACGGCTGCCTTAGAGTGCAACTGCTAAGACTCTCTGACTGGTCAGTACATCTATGTCCTGGCACTGCATCATTCACACCATGTGTCTATTTTTCATGGACAAAGTGATGATACACATTGTGTAGTATGGGATTGAAAACCTGATCTGCCCATGAGTTTTACCACCCAAAGAATTTAACAGACAAAGCATCTGTGCCATCTTTACCATACCTATATATCCCATACTGACATGACGTAAAAAAAAATTCTCTGGAGCATTTGAATGTGGAGTCAGTCCACACAAATGGAAGTTAATGGGTGAGGTTTGTTCCTTTGATTTTTTTTTTTTTTCATTGATTTTTTTTGGGGGGTTCTTCTTTGCTGTTTTGCAAATAAATAAAAGTAAACCTGTAGGTGAGGACTTCCTTGTTGACTCTATTGAATTTTCTATCACCTGACCAGAAAATATTTTGGAAAAATTCTCTTCAGTTAATCATTAATAGCATGGCACATGTTGGAATTACATTTCTTGATTCCAGAATAATGTATGCATGAAATTAAACCACTAATCTGGCCATTGCATCAGTGATTTCCCATGGAGTCCCTTAGCCACTCTAACAGTTAAGGAATTAGAAGATATTGACAAAATATGGACAAATTGTGTGCCTTGAAAATTTCTGCATTGCATATGCACAGGGTGAGTCGAATGTCAAAAACCATACAAAGGTCTGTAAATTGCTTAATTATGTTAGCTTAATTTTGATTACCATTTCATAGACCAGAGGATGTACTTATGTGAGCCATTCTATAATTTTAACTTAATGCATCTTAAGTGTGTGTGTCTGTGTGTGTTTTAGCATGATTTGGTAGCATTCAGTTGCAATCGGCTCATAATTTGTATATTTGCGTTAATGGCCAGAATTTTTGAAGAACTGACAGCACAACTGGACATTTTAGCTTAAATATTGAAGACTATAATTCCATTGTCAATTCTGCACAAATCCCTCTTTAAAGGAACACTTTTTCCCTAACCCTTTAGTGTCCCTCTGCCCATAGCCAACTTACGTTTTGCCAGCGCCGAGGTCCTTATGTGCTGGCTAAGTCTCCTCTTCCACCGTCACAGTGATGCAGGAACCTCATGTGTAACGACCATTGAATCAATTCTTTTCCTATGGGGGATTTAAAAACATTGGACGTTGGACATACGCAAAGGGTAGAAAAAAGCCACTAAAGGTTGAGTTAACCCTGCAATGTAATTATTTCTGTCTCTGAAACTAATCTTTTACATTGCAGGGCTAAGGGAATAGACACTGCCACTAAACCACTTTAATAAGACTAAGTGGTCTGGGCGCCTATATGGTCCCTTTAATAAATAACCCAATGAAATATTGTGCATAAAACCTTTTCAAGCTAAATGTCTGCTCTCTCTTGTTCTTGTATGAGAGGCAACAACGATCAAGTTAGTGGGTACAAACATATAAATTAGCTTCAGTATCTCATTTGGCTCAGTGTGTACTGTGTTTTGGATACACAACTCCCTGATCATTTTAGGTGCAATTCCCACATTATTTTTATTATGTGATTAGATGCGTTATTCAAATGAAGTGTATACAGTAAAGCTGAAGATATTTATCACAAAATTAAACTCTGCAGTTCTCTCTGTTAAATATCATGTTGTAAAGTCTATACTTTTCATCACTTTTTAATTTGCCAATGTTGCATAAAACTGCTTTGAAGTGAAATTTAGTATATAACGCATTTTTCATAAATAGTATTGTGAAAATTGTCAGTGCAGTGTTTAGCTGGTTTTAAATGTTGTTTGCCATTTTAAAAATGAATAAAGTGGGTTTTTTTTTTTTATTGGTGTTGATTTGTGGGGGGAAAAATGCTAATGCATTACAAAAAATGACTGCTTGAATAATAATTTTTTTTTTAAATGAATTAATAAGCCCAAGATAGCTAATGTATCGCACAAGAATAAGAGTCCACAGGACCGAAATAACACGGACATAACCGGCCTAACGACAGGTAACACACACCACAAAGTGGCCGCCTACGCGGACGATCTACTCTTTATAATAACCAACCCTGAAATCTCCCTCCCGAATATCCAGAAAGACTTACAGATATATGGGGAAATATCCAACCTGAAAATCAATAACAGTAAATCGTTCATTCTCAATGTTAGCATCCCTACTGCAAGGGCGAACCCCCTCCGACACAGCTTCCCCTTCCAGTGGGCCGAGCACAAGATTAGATACTTGGGAGTCTGGTTGACTAGGCAGAGCAGAGACATGCTTAAGGAAAATTTTACAGACACACTTCAGACGTTCCAAAAAGACATGCGGGAATGGTCATATCCACACATCTGGTTGGGGAGAGTACAAGTAATAAAAATGAACTTCCTACCACGCCTCCTCTATCTCCTCCACACCATTCCCATCAGGCTCCCGAGCCCCTCTTTTAAAACCCTCAGAACAGAAATGATCAGATACGTATGGAATGGGGGGAAACCCAGGGTGAAATTCACTACCCTGACGCGGCCTAAGGACAAAGGAGGCTTAGCCCTCCCAGACTTCCACTTATACTATGTGGCCACACACCTACAGAGAATTGTAGAGTGGTCAAAAGACAGGGTACACAAACTATGGAAGACAGTGGAAGAGACAGAGGCGGGTAGACCACTCTCGGGACTGCCCTGGGACCGAAACGCGACGAACTGGGACGAAATGTCCATATACACCAAACACACCCTGAAAATATGGAGGAGGTTAGCGGTGAAGGGGAACATATCGCCATACCCCTCTTCCCTCCTTCCATTGACGTATAACAAAGACTTCCCCCCGGGACTAGACCCAAGAGCCCTCAGAGACATCCTTCCAGACACTCACCCATGCTTACATCACGTCCTACAGGAAGGGAAATGCAAAAAGTTACCGGACATGATGGGAGGGGTACCCCCGACCTTTATGCACAACTTTAGATATTCCCAACTAACCAACTACATCCACACTCTACCACAGGGATCAGCACTCACTAGAGAACACACCACATTAGAGGTGGTCTGCATGCACCCAGACCCGCTCCCACACGGAGTGTCCATGTTACAAACGGACATCCCAACCGAGACACCCTTATTTATGGGGAAGTGGGAGAATGCCCTAGGATACACATTGACAGACACAGGATGGGAATCCATTTGCTACCTCACACACAGTAAAACACAAGAGACAGCCTACAAATTACTAACTCACTGGTATAGGACACCACACCTCCTCCGTCAGATAGACCCAGATCAATCTCGCCTATGCTGGAGATGCCAACAAGAAGAGGGAGACATAAAACATCTGGTGGGACTGCACAAAAATTAAACCATTTTGGCAAAACATACACAGAATGCTCAAGAAATTCACAGACGAGCCACCCCCCCTGGAACCGGCAGCAATGCTCCTACTCCACACTCTAAATACAAACGATCCATGACCATCCGAATACTTAATATAGCCAAGCGAGTAATCCCCCAATTTTGGAAGCAGAACATAACACCTCCACTTAAGACCTGGTTCAGCCAAATGGAGGAACTCAGGATAACAGAGGAACTGACCATGACGACTAATGCGACCCCAAAGACCTACATGGACATTTGGACATATTGGATCCTAGAGACAGCGAAGGAAGGATTCCAAATGGAACTCGGATCAGACGAACGCCAAATCACAGACAGGACTTAGAACACCCACTGGACGACAGATGACGGAAGACAATGACTATAACCACCCCTCTCCCCACCCTAACCCCGACTTTCCCCACCCCCACTCTTCTAAAGACCCACACGGGACAAAAACCCCAACCCAAGCAGAAATTAATACCTATAGAGGAGACATTAGTGCCCTGAATAAAAATCCATACGGGTTCACACCCATCCCATAACCTACAAGAGACACAATCCTACTGGAACACAGATCGAGCAGACGTGACAATCACAAAATAGCCTGAGGACAGCAACAAGCTACAATCACACCCTCCCGAAATGTGAGCCATAAACCTCTCAACACAGATACACCATATCCCATACACATGACATCCAGGACACTAAGTGGAGAGTCGCACGAGTCCGCCTAGGACACAATACCCAACCCAAGAAGAAGGGACCTGAATGTCGCCTAACAATAAAGGTTGGATAAGAGGTCTGTGAGCCTCAACACAAACATAACACGAATCACAGCTGCTGTACAAGAAATATATAAACCACATAAACACAGTTCAATTAGTCAAACAAATGGCAGATGGTAAAATGTACATGAAGTTACTTGTGAAACTGGAAAATAGGGACTTGCAAGTCCGTCAACATTGTGGGCCTGCGAGCCCAAACATACATTGATGTTTTCTAAAATTATGATAACTCACCTTAGAGACCTGCGAGTCTCCAACCTTTACGTAAGTAATATAAATAAATAAAAATTATATTAAAAAAAAAAAAGAGTCCACAGGACCCAAGACAGGTGATCAGTTTTTCTCCCCCTTTCCATTAATTCTTTCCATAAGGAGGTCCAAGAAAATCAATGGTCATGGGCCCTCTAAGACCTGGACTCTGTGAGAATATATTTATCAAAACAAGTTAATTTTAGTAATATCAAATAGATATGGCACGGTATCTCCTTATTAATTTAAGCTAAGAGTTAACTCACTAATTTTAATTATTTTAAAAGCTCAAGTATGTTTATTAAGATAATTTAGTTTTCACACAATTTACAAGTTCTATACAAATATATATATACATTTATTGGGATTAATAATAGTAAACATGCTATCTAACAGGGAACTGTTCATGTATATGAGGCTTAAACACATGGTCAGGAAACTCTCAGGCCCAAAGCGAGACCCCTCTTTGATGGGCGACTTTGGAAAACTGTGTGTGAGGTAGGCTGGGCAGGAAACCGCTATCCGCCTGCTACAGAGCCCTTCAGGATGCCCAGAGACCCCTGAAGTTCTTCTATATGATTATTGGGAAACAGAGCTTCACCAGGAATTTACCACATATCAGTGGAAACGGGCACTAATGCAGACAAACGCAGCTACTAGGGGCATAGTCCAACTGGAGGTGACATATAAATTATGTATGAGCTGGTATATGACCCCGCAGAGGCTCTCCCACATCTATGCTAATTTGACTCCCAGATGTTGGAGATGTGGCAAAGGGAAAGGTACGATTAGCCACATGTTCTGGTCCTGCAAAACACTCCAGCCTTTCTGGACACAAATCAAAGAAGTGATTCATACCATGACAGGGCAGGACATACCGCTTCACATTGCACTCTACATACAACACACATTCCCGAAGCTGTACAAGAAAGCAGATAGAGCAGCAATTAGTCATGTATTGATTGCCACAAAGAACAGCATAGCATCTCTGTGGAAAAACACACAGCCACCAACGCTAAATGTAGTACTGGAAAAACTTAAAGGACCACTCTAGGCACCCAGACCACTTCAGCTTAATGAAGTGGTCTGGGTGCCAGGTCCTTCTAGGGTTAACCCATTTTTTCATAATTATAGCAGTTTCAGAGAAACTGCTATAATTATGAATGGGTTAAGCCTTCCCCCTAATCCTCTAGTGGCTGTCTCATTGACAGCCACTAGAGGCGCTTGCGTGCTTCTCACTGTGATTTTCACAGTGAGAGCACGCCAGCGTCCATAGGAAAGCATTGTAAATGCTTTCCTATGAGACCGGCTGAATGCGCGCGCAGCTCTTGCCGCGCGTGCGCATTCAGCCGGCGCGGAGGAGGAGGGAGGAGAGAGCTCTCCGCCCAGCGCTGGAAAAAGGTAAGTTTTTACCCCTTTCCCCTTCCAGAGCCGGGCGGGAGGGGGACCCTGAGGGTGGGGGCACCCTCAGGGCACTATAGTGCCAGGAAAACGAGTATGTTTTCCTGGCACTATAGTGGTCCTTTAAGACCAGAGTGTACGAAGATATGTCCCACAGAATGAACAGCACAAATCGAGTATACGAACAAACGTGGGCAAAATAAGAGGCAGTCTGGGAATCACATGGTTACAGGGGATGGGGAATAAAGATGATTCTCCAATATTGCCCATGGGAGGTACAGGCCCTGAGGGGAGGGCTGTGTGATTGTGGGTAGGGGGAAGAGGAGGACCACACAGAAAGACCGTCCACATACGCCCCTGAACACGGGGGGGGACGGTAACGGGAGCTAGCTAAAAGTATCATACAAAACCTATTCAACTGCTTAACCCAAGCGATGCCAACAATTGTCCTATAGTTATAGTTGTAATTATACTTATGTTCCTTTTTTATAAGTTAGATTTAAGTTGGAAGTAACCTAGGTAAAGTGATATGAGAATATCCAGGGCCACGACTTCCACACCTATGTCAGCACATAGACTCGAAACCGGCAAGATTGACACATAGATGACCACAGGAGAGGGGGGCTTGGTAGAACGTGCAAAGGCACAATGTTATTACTGTATATGCACAAGAATGTTGCACAAACTATGTAATGCAGAAGTACCACAAACCCCACTAAAATCAGATACAGAAACTGCCGAACACTGCTGGACTTCCATCATCACCTGCATTTGATTCTATTTAACTTAGAAAGTTCGGTGAGATCATTCATCTGGATGAAGGGAACACGCTCTTGGGTAAGAATATTGACTCTGTTCGGTAGTTTGTTCGTTTTCAAACTATCGAACTAGACCGACCGCAAGCCCTGATTCTCTGGAATTGTTTTGAGCATGGGACCATACCTTCGGTCGGTCAAAAACATGAACCCCTGAACTGACCTGGGTGATTTTTGGATATGTTGGTCACCCAGATCAGAGCTATCAGGGGATGTAACATT